AATCTCACCAGGCTCAAGGTTGACTCAGCCTTCCATCCTTCCGAGGTAGGTAAAATGAGGACCCGGATTGTGGGGGCAATAAGCTGATTTTGTATAAAAAGAATACCGCTTGGGGGGGGGGGAAGCCTTACTAAGCAGGTATATACAAAACAAATTATGAAGGCTATTGCTTAACGCACTGTAAGTCGCCCTGAGTCTCCGGAGAAGGGCGGCATATAAATCGAACCAATGAATGAATGAATGAATGAAGTTTAGGATGTTAGAGGTCCTACATCTAATAGCATGGTGGACAGTTTAAGGTAAAGCCAAAATAGGGAGGCATGGAATCAGTCAGAACTAGGGGAAGGTGAAGTAATGCTATTTCCTGAACACACTATGATTCATCAAACGAAACTATAAAAATTGATTTGGCAAGACTTATTTTTGATAATCCATGTAGTTCTTATTTATCAATGTATTTTATTTTAAAAATATGCCAAGTTTCCAATACCTCATTTATTGTGTAAGAGTTCTGATACAGTATCACAGAAGTTAGCCTTGACAAGTAAATTAAGGGTATCTAAATTTCTCTTGATCTATTTTAGATAGACAGATAGAAAAGGATTATAATCCATCACTTCAATTTGCATGGATGCCCACTTCCATGTGACTCTGGATGGCTTGCAAGAATTAAAAATAAATAATATAAACAATTGACATTGAGGTTTGCCTCAACCTAGACTAGTGTTTTCCAAAGATGGCAGTTCAGCTAATCCTGGCTAAGCTATACAATACATATCTTATAGCTACCCTTTCTTCTTTAGAATGAAGTACATGTTGGCCATATCCTGATCTTAATTTCTAATGCTCTTTCTACTCTTTATTTCTTTCTTTAGGAAAATTAATGTACTGTATGCTGTTGAGTTTTTTTTTTTTATTTCATTTTTATGAGGCAGGATTCTTCTGAAAGGGACTCAGGAAAATGGGTAAACTCCCACACACATCTGGATCAGGCCTCTGTACAATTCCTCTCAAGTTAAAAAACAACAAAAACAGTTGGATATTACACATTTGTCTCTTGGTTTTATTGGAAAATGAAGCTGTTTTGACAAACATACATTAATAAGAATTATAGATATCATGATATAGTTCTTTATCCATTGGAAACAACTTTTAGTCTACCGAATAATAATTACACATTATTCCTCATAGCCCCCTATGAGGTAGAAATGTCCAGATTAATAGCAGACAACCAGTAATACAGAGTTTGTAACTGAACAAGAACATAACATCAAATGGCCCATAAGGTATATATAAACACCATAAACTAGTTAAGTTTCAGAGTTCTTGCAATAAAGATGCACAAAAACTCATGACTGTACAGCTCTTGAATACCTTATACATGCAAAATACTCAATAGGTCACCTTACCAACTTGATAGCCAAGTAATTTATGCTGTATTTTTCCACCTAAAAGCTTTTCTGTAAAGAACAGGCAGGCACACTTCTTTTTCAAGAACCATACATTTACTCGGGGATAAAAAGCAGGGGGCTGTGACAAGAACCCAAAGTGGGTAAGGACATCCATTTTTTTCCACATAATGGTGGCGGGGGGGGGGGGGGGCTTTTCTTCCCAGACATCTGACATTGCACAAAAAATGGAAATTAGCCTATGAGGCTTAGGTTATTTGTCGTTATAAAGCATATATAAGAAAATAATGGCTAAGATATTAACTTCCTAGAAACTATTGTATTGGAAAACTAAGGGTAGGAAAATTAAGAACACTAAATGTGAAATCCTTATTTGAGGTCTTCGTATCAGTAATTCTTTTTTAAAAAAAATGCAACTCTGGTACATGGATATTTTTCACCCAGATTTGCTTCAGACAAATTACTCCTTCAGATTGTTATGGACTTTAATATTAGCTTCCGTGAAGAACAATTCACAACCAGGTATGTTCCTTTTGATCTTCAGAATGGGAACAAAAACCTAGTTTCCATGGTTTCTATTCAGATTGCTACCCACAAGACCACTTTTTAAAAGGGATGAATGGGACAGTTAATATGAATTATAATCAAATCTAAATCTGGTGCCTATATTCTACCAATGCACAAAGTTTTGTGAATTAGTCTTCAATAATTACTGATACAACAAAGGCATGTATCTTTTTTCACACATTTAAAATATTTTTCCTCATTGCATTTGTAACTAAAGAAAAAATGGGCATGTAGCTTCAGATCATATTTTGCATCTTTTTTATTCTTAACCCAAGTAACGTGCACAAGACTACAGATGTAGTATCACATACAGTTTAGCCCCTATGTTACTATGAGCAAATTCTGTTTCAATCTTGTACCCGCTACTAATTTACTCATTAGGCAGATTATACTCTAATCCTGTTATGTTTTGTTATACAGAAGGAATATCTTTGCATAAGGTTTGCAAGTGATATTGAGGAAGTGCTTTTGAACATTCTGAAATGCTATAGAAATGCTATTATAAAATCAACAGTGCATAAAAGTGCATACGCTATCATTTTTAAACTTTTGTGCAACGGCAGTTTATCATATTTTATGATCCTGTCCTAATCACTTAACATATTACTTCTTAATGTTTCAGTTCATTTAATGTTCCAGTTATTAAGTTTGTCTGATTTTTAACTGTATCTTGTTGACTGCAGACAGGAAAGAAATTAAGTGGCAGGAATTTTCCATTCATAAGGAAAGATGGAAGGGGAATGCTCATGTTTTCTTCACTAGTTGGTAAGTGAAGAAAGACATCTGTCACCAAAGAAGTTGACATAAATTTACTGAAATAGAATTAATGATCTCTGATATCTTTTGTTTTTAGTAGTTTTTCACCTGCATTCTTAGGCCCTTTTGGTTTAACTGCACAATACATGCTTTATTATACACATTATCTTCAAAATTTCATTTTTTAAATTATGCCACATTTCCTAAGTACTCAAACCACAAAGCTCTTTAATATGGAAAAATGAAACAATTCATACAGAGAGCACATTAGTGGCACAGAAGGGAAGAAGTGATTCATTGGCAACTGCTATTGTAACACAATTAACAATGAGTAACAAAGTTCTCATCACACAGTTAAACCTTTGAACTTTTGCACACATACAAAGATTAATTTCAGGGAGGCAAATTTTTGGTAATATGGTTGAATAGTGGAAGAATTTCTTGTTAGTGGTTCTTTATTAATTATCATCAAATTCTATAGCAGCTACAAAAACTAGTCAGCTGCAAATCCTTTATTTCAAACGTGTATTTAAATGAGGTCCTATTGCTTTTAATAGGTCTATTCTTAGAATTAAATTTGGATCCAATCCACTATACAGTTTTTTTTTTAACTGGAGAATCTATCCAATTTTTAAACCTCTCAGAAAATGTATCTTCAATATTTAAGAGAATGGCCCAAATTCTTAGCTTCATGCATACAGGGATAATGGCTCACGTTTAAATTAAATTCATAAAAACATATTTATTTAGAAGTATCATAAATGCCATTTATCTCCACTGCATTTAGGAGCAAAAAATATCAAGAAAACAAAGTACACTATGGCCAATGTAATATTCTAGCACAGGGGTGTCAAACTTGCAGCCTGTGGGCTGGGTGTGTCACGCGCTGGTCACGCCCCCGGCCCGGTTTAGCAAAGGGGAAAAAAGCTGTGATATGTCATTTGACAACACAAGTTTGACACCCCTATTCTGGCATTTGGATAGAATATGGATTATCAATTCCAGCACTTAATCCATAGTCATTGTCAATAACTCTAGTTCACATAAATCTAAAGCCTAATTTTGACAATGAGGGAGATCGTAAACTATTCCTAAATTGTATTAGTAGGAATGCCAAGAGGGGGCTCATAAGAGTTTATCACAACAATTTATAATACTCAAGCATAGAAAACAATCCGTCAGTGAAAAGATTAGGGTAAGATCCCTTTCATTGTAATTTCTGTTTCTTAGGTATTTATTTGGAAATATCATGCAACATTTCATTATGTAAACCAAAGTTCTAAAAGTTTGCCACCTTATATGCTGCTTATGAAAACTCAGCCCAAGTCATGCCCATTTCCACCCAAGAAAGCAGTATTTCTTGTGACATATCTAGCCACAATTTTTGTATAATAGTGAGATACTTTTTTTCAGTTCTGTTCCATAGGATAAACTACAAAGCACTTTTCAAAGAATACTAACTCAGCATTACAGGAATCTCTCTGCTAGTTTTGAATTTTCTCCACAATAATCATTCAAGGATACACAATGGCCATCTCAGCACATAACAGCACCTGCCTGGGTTTGAAAGCTAAGCAGAGGTGGGCCTGATTAAGATTGCAGTGGAAAACCTCCTGAAAATACCAGTATCAGAGCTTTAGATTAGACTGAGAAGTAAAAAAAGAAAAGCAACACTATAGCAATAGCACCTAGACTTATATACCGCTTCACAGTGCTTTACAGCCTTCTCTAAGCAATTTACAGAGTCAGCATACTATCCTAGAGAAGGCAATAGAAAATCACTTCTGTATTGTTATCAAGAAAATTGATATCCAGCAGTGGTCAAAATATATATTGCTCCATTCACATAATTACTGTTGATTATACACTAGGTTTCAAGCTACCTATGTGCTTAGTAAGAAACATTTGTGAACAGTATCATCTTGGTGAATCTTACATGTTATTTTTGGTAAAAACATGTTATTAAAGTCTAGGGTTTGAACCAAGCTAAGGAATATTTGAATGTTTCAAAAAGAATTTTTTTCATTCCTTAGTCAGCTCTTTTAGTACCTGTTTACTTATCCAAGGGTAATACATATTTCTAAGAATATGTACTATCATCATGCTTGTATGCACCATATAAATAAATGTATCTATCTCAAGAGCTGCTCAGTAGGCCTGTTTTAAATTTAGAAAAAAAAATAGTAATTTCACTCAAGTATTTTTGGATGAGGGCACTTGAGGCACTACTTGTTCCTTGCCATGAAACAACAACAAAAAAAAAATTCCTGAGATCTGAAACATAAGGTTTATTTCGCATTCTATGTGAAACCAGAAACATCTCCACTTCTATTACAGCCTCAAAGAGCTTTAACATTAAAAAAACAATAACTGAAAAATATTCTCATTAAAAAGAGGGAAAGGTCCCAAACACACACACACGCCCAAATATACCTCTTTCATCTTTCTAAAATGCAACTGTTTTTATAATATGTTTGATTTACAAACTGTACAAGAAACAAATAACAGTTTCTAAAAGCCATTTTAAAAGAAGTGAAATATTTCCAAAAGGCCAGATTTCATATTGTTTTAGATGGATGTCTGGTCAATTCTCATCATCACGTCCATAGTGAATAGTCTGTATTTCCTGAGCAATGAATGATGCCATCTCCTGGGTACCTGCTGCTATTACTCGACATGACATCAGATCTAGAGGTCCACCTAGGAGAAAAAATTATTGAAAAATAGCTTAGATGTTTCTTTTGTGATGAAGACACAAATTATTTCTTGTGTAGTCCATTCTGTGCATTTAACTGGGACACATATATAGGAAGAACATTACTAAACTTTCCTGATATGTAAAGTTTCGTGTTAACTGTTCCTTTTTTTTAATCCTACTCTTGTTCCTTCTCCCTCCAGAATCCCCTTCACCTATGCTCCCTAGCAGTGCTTGGAAATACCAAATTTTTCTTTTGAGTGTTGACTGGTCTTTTTTTTTTCTCCTTCCAGAAGAAAAGAGAACTAGTATGATTAGAACAGGGGCTGGCTCAAAGGTAAGACAGACATTTCCTGTCCTAAAGTCCATCTTGATATCACCCAAAATACTTGTGGGATACATGTGGGAAGTCTTGCTTTGAGCCAACTTGAGTTTCCCATCATATAAATACAATAAGCCATTAGGGACTGCAACTATATAATAAGAAGCACAGTATTTGCAAACTTTTAAAATTGTACATTAAATCCTTAGAATAGAGAATGGCTTTCATGCATAAATTAACTTTCTTCCTTCCCCATTTCTAAGGCCACCACTCCCCAATATTGCAGTTGCAGAATATTGTATTCCCCAATATTGTACTTGCAGGATCACCTCCTACCGGCCTCCCACCGCCCAGTGCGCGCACATAGGACTGCCCTCCTCTGGGTGCCTTTGACCAGACAATGTCGGCTGGTGGCGCCCAGGATGAGGGCGTTCTCTGTGGCTGCGCCGACCCTCTGGAACGAGCTACCCACTGGGCTCCGGACGGCCCCTGACCTCCGTTCCTTCCGCAAGGACCTGAAGACATGGCTTTTTAATCAAATTGCCTGATCTGTTGGGAGTTTTATTTTAATTGTTGGGGTTTTTATCGACCTTTTAATGTGCTATTTATTGTTGTTTTATGTTGTGAGCCGCCCCGAGTCCTTTGGGAGAAGAGCGGCATATAAATATTATAAATAAAATAAAATAAAATAAAATAAAATAAAATAAATAAATAAATATGGCTTCACACTTTTCTGAACATTCTTTCCTAAAGATTGGACTTCCAGGGAAGTCTAGAATAAGATTGTGGCAAAAAAATTAAACTCTCTTGAATCTGAAGGAGTGGTATCATGTGCAACTCATACTTTATCCTTCTTAAAATATATTTGCTTACCTGATGTATCTATCACAACTCCACCTGCCTCCCTGATAATAACAGTAGCCGCTGCCAAATCCCAACAATGCAAGCCAAACTGGTAATATGCATCTGCAGCTCCAGATGCTAAATGACAGAGTGCCAAAGTAGCACTTCCAATAACACGAACCCTGCAATAAATGTTGAAAAAATTGCAAATAACATTAAAGCCTAGCTTTGCTCATAAGGAAGTGATTGTGTAGTGACACACATTTCCAAATATTGGATTCAACATTTTTACTTGTTTTACAGATTTTATCCATGATGCCCAGTATGAACATGGTATTCTAGACAGAAAACACTTTCCTTAAAGAGCCAAGTGCAATAAAGATGAAGAAGTAAGCATGCATTAAACACATTTTATAGCCTAATGTAGCTTATTTTTGTGATGGAATTCAAGAATTCAGTGCAAAAAAAAAGACTGTGATGGCACTACTGAAGATATATCTCAGGGATAGAATTCTCTTGATACACGAGGGACACCCTTGATGGCACAGTCCATATATGCATTTGAATATCGATGAAACTCTTAATTTGGTTGACTGGATTTCTGACAGCAGTACTTAACCAAAATATTATATTAACATTTTTCTTGTTACTAAGTTTATTAATTTTACAGGAAACAGAATTACCCATGTGCCTGTGCCTTTAGCAGTCGTTCCATGTTACTAACAAAAACTTTCAGAGTGTCAGGGTCTCGCTTTGGACCAATCTCAGTTAAAATCAAGGCTTTTGTGATATCTGCAAGAAAAATGATAGATGTATATTAATGCAACAGCTTACTCTAATTTCTTTTATAAATTCTACATCTTTGGATGCACAAATCGTTTTCAAGTAATCTTTTTAGAGGCAAAAATCTACAGCTGATCTTTGAATGGCAAGCCAGAGATCGCATAGCAAAAAATGGACACTAAACCTGATTTCATTTATCTTAATATTTAAAGTAAATATATTTACAACCATACTAATAGTACAATTTCATGGGAGTCAAACTAAATGGCTGCTGATTAAATGGATATGTCTACATTGTTTCCTTTGTTGCAATTTGGAAGTAGCTTTCCATTGTTTTCTTTTGCTATGAGGTTTTTTTTTTATTTCACAATCTACTTTATTGCATAGGATTTCATAGTGGTCTCCTATCCAAAAATCTAAATAATTTCTGCTAAAGAAAACTAAAAAAGCCTAAATAAAATAAATCTTCTTAACATTACAGGTAGTCCTTATTCAGTAACTACCTCATTTAATAACTGTTCATAATTACAATTGTGTTGAAAAAGTAACTTTATGATCAATCCCCACATTCATGACATTTGCAGATCTGTAAGCAAAGGAAAACTGAAGAAAATAGTAAGCAGTTGCAATTTCACTTAGTGACTGTTTGATTTATCAACCATTGCTAGTCCCAGTTATGAACAAGGACTACATATCCTTTCGTTGCCATTCTAGAATTGATAAAGAATTGCCATTCTTTATCACATTATATATCACAAAAAAAATCCACAATAAACCCAAAAGTTACCAATATTAGACTACTCGAGTCTAACTATAGGTTTTTACTTGGACTTGAAGTTCTGAGATTCAAAGGTCATGTGATTTAAATTTTAGAACTTGCAATAAAGATAATAAAACAGAGTGAGAATCTCAGATGCAAATGATATGTATTTTTGAGAAAGAAAAGTGAGACAACACAACAGCTTAATAAACTTTTGTACAACATCCAGCGATATTCTAGAAATACTTTAGGGCAGTGGTGAAATGCAAAAGTTGTTACTACCGGTTCTGTGGGTGTGGCTTGGTGGGGGATAATGTGACTGGGTGGGCGTGGCCAACTTTTAAAAAAAAAACTTTTAAAAGCTTTTTCTCTTCGGCTGAAGAGGTTGTAAAAAATGCTTTTAAAAGGCTCTGACAATCCCAGCTGAGTTGCCTGATTGTCAAAGCTTTTGTTTTCTTTTAAAAGCATTTTTTTACAATTTGTATGTATGTACAGGTAGTCCTCGAGTTATGACCATAATTGAGACCAAAATTTGTGTTGCTAAGTGAAGCATTTAAGTGAGTTTGCAACTTTTCTTGCCACAGTTGTTAAGTGAATCATTGCATTTGTTATGTTAGTAACATGGTTGTTAAGTGAATCTGGATTCCCAATTGACTTTGCTAGTCAGGTCGCAAAAGGGGATCACATGACCCCAGGACACAGCAACTGTCATAAATATGAATCACTTGCCAAACATCTGAATTTTGATCATGTGACCATGGAGATACTGCAACAGTTGTAAGTGTGAAAAGTGGTTATAAACCACTTTTTTCAGTGCTGTTGTAACTTTGAACAGTCACTAAATGAACTGTTGTAAGTCGAGGACTATCTGTATTTACATATGTACATACCAGTGTGAGTTGCCCCCGGTTCGAACTGGTTCTATAGAATCGGTAGTAAAGTCGGCGGGAGGCTCCGCCCACTGACCCAGACATCATCAAAAGCAATCTGCGCATGCACGCATGGGCATGATGCGAACCAGTAGTAAAGGTAAGTAGAACCCACCCCTGGTACATATGCCAGTAAAATGCAAAATATGGAACAAATTAATGCATAAATGCCTGGGAGAAAAGGAATGTCTTCTAATTCATCCTTACAAGACTACAATAAATCAGTAATTATGCTCTTAAAGTTCTACACTAATAAGACAATAGAAGTTGTGAACATTAAAGAAATTGTCTGAACTCTTTGAACTGCCAGGGCAAGCTGTTAAAAGGTGGTTTTACACTATATCTCCCAAACAATACAGCCTGCTTTTCATAATGTCCTCGCAGCAACCTTAGCATCTGATAGGAGGGTTTAACCAGTTAGATCCAACTGTAGGCAGATCTTTTCAGCTGTCATATTTGAGCTACTTTTGGCTCACTTGTCTGCCACTGAAGATAGGCCCAGCTGAAGGCATCCATAGCAAACTGAGACTACAACAATGCAGGTGACATCAATAAGAGAATCCCCTTATGTACTTGTGTCCCAGTGTCTGATGCAAAAGTATAAATTACAGTTTCTATATCATGAGGTCACAACACATGATTTGTCACTTGCCCTCCATCCCCCACTCTGGATGCCCAGACAGCTAGCAATAGGATTAAACAGAATTTAATTTTAGGGTAACTGAATTTATAGTGATGTAGCAAAAATATTATTAATCTGAATTAAGAAAAATTACCTAGAAGATACATTTATTTTATCTAAAATTAGATAAATATATATATATATATATATGCATAAATTTTATAGTGTTTACAAAATCTAAACCAACCTGTCACTTTTGACACCTGAAGCCTTTTGCCATTACAATATGACCCTTGACCTCTTCTACCAGTGTATAATCGTTCTTCAATGCAGTGATAAATTACACCAAATTCAAGCTTTAGGTTTTAAGAAAAGAAAAGTAACATGAATGCAATTTGCATTATATCAGTATAAACAAATCTCTTTTAACTGCATAAGATTGCAGTTTACACTATTGATTACCCCAAATATTCCTTATAATAAAAGCTACAGCAAATTAAATATATCATCCTCTTATATAATGGCTAATTTTTACATCACAATTACTAAATGAGAAATACAAGAAATGTCTTCTGCAGAATACTCACTGCAAATATAATCACTTATCAGAAGTGTTCCATCATCCTTCTCTTGAGTTCTCCATTGCCTATCACTTTCTATCAAGATGTATCATATGTAATTTACCCCAAAGCAATTGTCAGTTTACAGAAATAACATGAAGGGTATGTTTCCAAAATTTGCACAATCCAACATTTTTGTTACCGCAACGTTTTTATGGCTTTCATCATTGTCTAGCAGCAAGGCTGGATGTCAGCCAAACAAATGGAAGTAAGGAAAAAGAGCACTTGTTATTTTTTGTAGGGAAACCCAGTTCAATGGATCACCTATTCTAAAGGAAGAATGTAAAAGCCATATACAGGTTACCAACATTGTTTCTAGAAATCCAGACAAATACTCTATAGCAGGAGTGTCAAACTCTATTTTATTGAGGGCCGCATCAGGTTGTGTTTGACCTTGAGGGGCCAGGGTGGGCATGGCCAGCTCGATGTCACTTGTGTTGGAGGCGCCTGTAGTGGTCTGAGTGCTCTGCCAGTGAAAATGGAGCATGGGCCCTCCCTAGCTCCATTTTCACTGGCAGAGGGCACCACAGGCTGGTCCTTCACTGTTTCCAGGGCGGCCCAGCAGGTCAGATCTAAGCCTCCCTGGACCAGTTCTGGCCCGCGGGCCTTGAGTTTGATACCCCTGCTCCACAGTAACATGGAAAGATAGAGAACTACACAGAGAACTATAAATCCTGTGATTTAACGGATAGACAGCACTGCTGGTCTATGATTGCAATAAATTTGATTGATTGATCATTTGCTTAAATACTATGCCCATTCCTAAGTGCAAATACTTTGCAAGTATATTCCACTGATTGCAATTAAATGTAAGGAAAAAGGTTTAGGTTAAGGGGTACTTCTGTATCTGTTTTTGCAACACAGTGTTCTGCATGGCTAGAATGGGTATTCAAAACATTTTTAGTTAAGAGAAGAATCATTTATAATTGTTATGTAAAAATATCAAAAAGATGGTTTGAATATTATAAGTAGGTTTATGCATTAAAACCTATATTTTCACAAATATCACAAGATAAATTGGAAAAGTGTTGCATAAGAATTATTCAGGTGTATTTACTAAATCCATCCCCCCCCATTTTTTAACAGCTGCCACTAAAGCCTATCCAACTTACAGAACATTATTTTATACCTCTTGGTTGACAGCAAATCCAATGCTAACAGCTACAGTTGGAAACCTGTGTAAATAAATACATTATATTTGTTAATAAATTTTCTGATAATAATTATTACTATATCAACATTGTGATAGTATTTGTTGGTTCTCAGGTGAGAAAACTTACTTTTTTATATTTAGAGGTTAAATTCTAACTTTTTATATAATTTTAATTGTCAGAAAACTGATTTGCATCCTGATCCTAAAGACAGTTTTGTGACTTTTCCAATGATTATCTGATTCTCAGAAAGTTCCCTATTCTTTAAATTTTAGGAATCTATGCAACCAGTTAGCTGCTGTTCTTATTCCCTGCTGCCTTCATAGGACATTGTTGCACCAGGAATAGACTAAGAGAGAGGAGCAGCTGCTTTTCTAAAATAAGTTCAAAAGTCATTTCCTAACAACTGCTGCCACCTTATAACTTGAGAAAATAAATATTTTTCCTTCCATAACTAATACATTCCATTATGAAGTATTTTATGAACCAAAGATTGCAAACTAATGAAAATTCCCTCCAAAAGAAAATGATTCAAGATGATCCAGAATATGACAATTTAATACTCACAAACTAATTTGTTAAAAGAACAGCAATTACTATAGGTCAAATTAATGATCTGATTTTTGTTGTTCAGTAGTAGTATAAAAATATTAAAGCAATGCTATTACAATATTTTTAATATGCATAGACTTTACAAGTAAATTTGATGTAATCCTGTGCAGAAATTTGCTTGGTGCAAAAGATGCAGAAGGATGAGTTGTAAGCTACATGTCAGGCCCAAAACCAAGAATGATACATAGTGATTCTTCCAAGGTGAGTTCTTTATTGTTTCCCACCTATAGATAAAATCTTGCCAGACTGAGCATTTTACTGTTTGCATGTACAATATACTCTGTAGCTATTATGGAGGGGCTGTCTTTCTCCCACACACAGTTGCTTCTTGCTTCTCTGGAATGTAGCCCTTTCCTCCTGGGAATCAATATCCTTCTACATTTTATCACACTCTATGAAACTAGAAGGGATTCAACAGACACAGAAATTCCATTGATACTTCAGGCATTTAAAGATGCTTGACAATCTGGCTTGTGACATTTGATGCAAGGTTTTTACCGTGTCTTTACCTATGTACGAAATTGCAGGTGCCATCAACAGGATCAATAATCCAGGTTGGACTGTCATTGAGTATGCACTTTGAACCAGCAGCAGTAGCTTCTTCCGCAATAAACCTAACATTGGTATAGACAAGACTCAAATAAAAAAACTTTGAATTAAAGGTGCATTTGAAGCAGTTGCAGATGTACTGTTAAATAAATCTGTTCACATAATTATAATTTTCATTCATTTAAAACATCAGCAGTAGAATAATGTCATGGCCAGACATACCTGTGAGAGGGAAACTTTTCTTTCAATGCAGAAACAATTAAATTTTCCACCAAATGATCAGTTTCAGTCACAAGATCTGCTGCAGATGTTTTGGTAGATACTTGCTTTTCTTCAGTGAGAGCTTTTCTAATAATCTAGAAAGAAAATATTATATATTACTTTATAGATTTCCCCATTTTTCTGAAAAACTGCATTACATTCTCAATAGAAATAAATGATACAATTCTTAGTTGTGCCCACAATAACTTCTAAAATGATATCTTGTGTAAAATACAGTATTTTATTCAAGAAGATTCTGGTGTTAACATAATTACCTTATTTTTCTGTTAAATTTTCTTCGTTAATGGCTGCTGTTTAGATGCTACATTTTTGCTTCACAATTAGGATGCTAACACTTTATCACTGTATAAATGTATATGTTGTGAATTCAGTAACTGCTATATTAGTATTTCAATCACACATTATTTTTAACAGGAACTATCAGAAGAAAATATTTGGTGCACTATCACAACTACATAAAATGGACTGCTTTTGACTTATTTAAAATGAGTTAAAATAAATTAAGCTGGTTAAATTAAGATTGAACTGGTTCAGAACTTGGTCTTTAATGAGTATATAAGTGACATGCTGTAATTTTATACAATCTGCACGCGGACATTGTTACAATAAGAATAATTTTGGTTTCTGCTAAAGCTTTTATATCGACAATTTTCTAGAGGCCTAGAAAAATAGGCCAACTACATGATACAAAAATACAAACCCTATAATTTCTTCATTTTTTGCTTCTCCTTATACTGCCAAATATTATCTTTTCATCCTTTGCACTTTCTTTCAGAGTAAAACATTAATTCAGGCAAACATGACCACTACAGAGTATCCAGAAATGACTTACAGTATAAATTCCATTCTAAAGGCATGTAAATAGAAATATTTTTAAAGTAAATTCAAGAAAAAAGGAATGTCTTTAAAAGAGCAAGGAGAAGCTAAGCATGACTGAAAGCATCTGTTATTTCACAAGAATGTAAAATAAGTGCTTGGCTCTAATCTTTATTTAAAATCCTTATTTTTTAAAAAAAATCCTATGAATTTATATTTACTTGATACAGTGATATTCCCATGGATTTCAAACAAGGCATATTTATTTATGACATTCTGGATTCATGGCCAAAGCTCCATAAAAGCATAAATATGGTTTCAAAATTCAGTAACAGCAAACCCACTCCCAATTTGAGATTCCGAGAACTGTGAAATAGGATAGTCTTAAGTGCCCTACAAAAGGCAGTCAGGGAAGTTATGGTTGGAAACTCCTGAGCTAAATCTGGTACATACTCAGAGAAGCATCATACTCTTGCCTATCCCCACCTTTAAGCTCACATGTGAGGGGGAATCTCTCAGTATTCTCCATCAGGATGAATAAATAATGTCAGTTCTAACTTAAGTAGGTGGTCCTGTGGCTGCCTTGAAACCATCCAATAAAAGCTTTTACAGATTAAAAATAGCACCTTGAATTGTATTTAAAAAGCTACTAGAAGATTACTAGCAGCTCTTATCCAATTGCACACAGATTTTTGCATTCTGCATGGACTACAGTTTTGGGGTAGCTTTCCAAGACAGTCACCTGAAAACCCATTGTAGTGATCTATCTACGAGGTGATGAAGACATAGATGATCATTGCCAAGACATCATGCTCCAGGTAAATTCCTTAATTGATGTACCAGCCAAATCTAAGTAACCCTAGCTTCTACTTGCCTACATAGCTGTAGCTGTGAGTATAGGAGGACCCTAAATCACTGAATTGCTCCTTTAGACCAAGTGCCTCCCCATCTTGAGGTAGATCATTAATGGTTTCTGGGCAAGTAGCATGTTTATGTTACAGGGATTCAATCTTGGTTTGTTTTTTCCCGTCCAAATTCCAACAGTCTCCGGACTTGCATCCTTAGCCCAACCAATGTTGTGTGTATAATTTGAAATAATCAGTACTTTGGTGATCCTGTACCAATGGGTTTTCCAGCAGATTCATGTAGTTGTTAAATTCACAGAAGGGTAAAGGAACAAAAGCCTAGATCACTTCTAAGTTTGTTATTTATATACAGTACATTAAATATATTATATACCTTATATGCGGCCCAAGACAATTCCTTTTCACTCAATGTGGCCCAGGCAAGTCAAAACGTTGGACAGCCATATGATAGAGCATTTTCTACAGATCATCCTGTACAGTTCTTCAGAATTAAGAAGCTGAAGTGAATCTCAGTTACCCTCAAAAAGCTAATCCAATCATGACCCATTGTGTGCAGAGTCCAGGCCAGAGGAAATTTAAGTAATTTTACATATGAAATCCCGCCCTAGAATCTCACATGGCTTTCAGAAAGAGCGCCCCTCAAAAGAATGCAAACACCCATACAAGGGCTGCAGAGGTACAATCTATAATCACAATAAGAAGCATTATTTTGCCATATTTATTCATACAGTGTAATCTCAAATATGAACAGTTAGTTGTATCTAGTCCAATCTCTTCTTGGTTTTGTTCCTCTAATACTCTAGGTGTGTCTTCTGCAACCTCATCCCTCAGAACTAGCACACAGGAATAGTCCAGGATGGCAGGATTTCATACATAAAATATGGAATTGGAGGTGATTTCATCATGTTGTGGTTACTTTAATATTCCAAAAATTGCTCAGGCACTCAAAAGAGCCACTTACCAGCTTACTTGGGATACCCCTAAGTGTTCTCTGGAATCCATTTAGATTCATTAGGCACTGGACCAGACTGTCCAAATACTGTAGGTCCTACCATTCTGCAGAGCCTCTTGGCAGTGATGAGGCTCATAACGAACAGGGAGCAATCTAACTACAGCAAAGATTTAATCTTTATCTTCCATTATTAGATGATATGTTGACTGCTTGTAGATAGACACCCTATCTAGTATGGCACCAAGACTGCCTGGAGTTGCTATGAAGTCTCATGGAAACTTCCCTCGGAGACAGAAGTCTCCCAAATGAAAAGCAATGAGCTTTCTACCTCCTGCTCCCCAATAAGCTCCAAGAGATCACAAAAACACTCTGCTGTGCAGCAAGGTATGCAGTACACAAGGAAAGTTTCTAATTTGCCCTGTTGTCCAAAATCACAAAAAGGCATGGACAACTTGTCACTTCCAAACCAGACTCTCTGGTCACTATTAATTCCAGACAATCATTGCTACCCAAATCACCTACTATTGGTTCGCTTGCTAATGCAGGACCTGGAACATGGCAGAGCAGATTTCCAAGACGGCAACATCACAACTCACTGTCAACCCCAGGTCCCAATACTGTAAATTTATGCCAGTTGTGCATACCAGGTTTGCATGCTTATCCACAACCAAATTGTGGAGAAATATGATCTTATGCTGTATAAATTTGGCATTAACCAGCAAAAAAGTTCCTGGCTGAGAAAGCTGGCTTCTTTTTAGGTACGCAGTAATAAACTCAATAGAACATATAGGAACAGGTGCAAAATAGAATATTCAAGTTATTCTACTGCTATTTGGAAGGCCACAAATAAAATCCAGTTCATACTCAGTCATCATCACAATTAAAAAACATTTTTATTGTTATCATGTTTCAAGAGGTAAAAGAACTTCTTAGAAATATACAGGATATGCAAACCACATTTTCTTTCCTTCCTACTATTGCTAAAGAAAGGTAGCAACATAAATTAGGTTTCTGCCTCAGGCAACTACTCTAAGCATATACTATTAATAGCAAGTAAACTTTGCCCTATAAAGTAACAAAAAAGGAGTTGCAGTAGTTGGCAACTCACCATGTTGTGAAACTAAAGCAAATGATACTGACCAGACTCTTTGGCTCATGAAGTGTTTCATCTCACAGTCACAGGCCCAAAGATCAAAGACATGACAAAACAAGATTTATCAAATCCACGGATAATTATCTTTTCCTGCTAATTACATGAGTACAAACAATTCTGCAAAAAAAACAGCTACAACTATATTGCATGACAAGTTTGAAAATCTTGGAAATAAGCTCAAGATCCCCACGGCTCAGTGATATCCATTGTTTCAGTTCATGAAAAAGACTAAGGGGAAAGACTCTTGTAAATCAGTGAATCAGTAGGGGCTATTTTATTTCTGGGACCCTTGTCTGAATCATCTAAGTGAGAGATTGTTAGAGGAAGATGGGTCACATTTCACTAGGACCAGTAAAATTCTGTTTCACCAAAGGATGATAGATGGAAACAAAAATTCTGAAGGGCCTCATATAAAGGTTTGTGCATTATAAGAAGCAGCAATGTTGCTGAAATGGGACTTTTAAATCATTAAAAAAAATCAGGATGAATAAACTTCATGGTCATTATTGTCTATACTGGTACATTAATGCTAAGACCATGGAAAATAAGACAAGCTTGCGCTCTCAGCATTGTCATGAGGAAAACATGAGAAATTCACCATCCTATCTCCTAGAAGAAAGTGGTTAATACTAACACTCAAGAATTGATAAGACTACACAGTATTATTCCAGTAAATTCAGTTCTATTAGTTAAATTAGTATTTATTAAATTATTTTAATCAATGTGTGTCAGTGAACAAGCTGAAACTTCATGAAGGGCTCAATGCGGTGAAAAGTTTGAGATCCCTCTTTATAGATCTAGAGATGTTAACCCTTCAAATAATATTGTGTAAAGGTGAATTTAAATATGCTAGGTTCACTTTCTGTTACTTTGTGTAGCTGCATTTCCTAAATTTCAAACATCCAATAAAAATGAGTATCCGTATCAAATCATGATGACACCAAAATGATAAAATATATGCCTACACTCAAGTTTATTACAGAGCAAAAGTGCTTCTTTTCTCATGATATGCGATCACCAGATTCTTTTACATCTTATCCTAAAAGAACATGAGGAGGGTAGATTTCTGCACTTATTCAGGAGTAACTGAAACCCAATGAACTTGATGGATTTGCACCCAATTCAGCATATTTGAATTACCACAACGTGCAACCATGTACTTCTTTTCTCCAACCTGATCCCCCTTCAAATGCAAAGTTTCAATTCAAATTCAAATTCAAATTCAGGGTCAGTGCATTTGAAGGGATCCATGTTGGCTCGTGCACCGGTAGCTTCCCAAGATCTTGCACGGAGCTGCAGCTCAGGTTAGCAAGAAATCTCGACCTAAATCTTACAAGAGGCAGAAGGAACAAAATGCGCGGGGGGGGGGGGGGGGGGGGAGGCCCCCGTGGTTTACCGGGGCCCCAAAAGGGGGGGGGGGGGGGGGGGGGAGAGAAGAGAGGAAATAAAGTTTTGCGCCTCGTATTTGCTTGCTCCCCACAAGGCTCCACGTGTGCCCTGACCCAGAAGCCCCTTATGCCACAGCCGCCCTCCCCCAGCCGAAGCAGCTCCCGCTCACCTGTCCCGCCTGGAGCGCGAGCTGCACCGCCACCTCCAGGCACTCTTCCCAGGGGTCGTCTCCGCCGCCGGCCGCTTTGCCTAATCCTCGCTGCCCGCTGGGGTTCATGATTACCGCCGCTCCTCCTCCTCCTCCTCCTCCTCCTCCGCGCCCAGGATCCTCGCCTCCTCCGGCGTTTGCGAGGATCTCCGCGGAAATAGGAAAAAGGGGAGGGGGCTGTCGGTGCGGCAAGTCCTTGAACTTTCTCCGGCGCTCGAGGGGGCTTCCCTCGCTCGGGCTAAGGAGGGGGGGGGTGTTTACTTCACAGCCCCGGGAGGGGCGTCTCCTCCCCACTTGCCGAAGCCTCCCCGCTCTTCCTGCGCCGCCACCACTAGCCCTGGCTGCCCTCTCGCCTTCCCTCAGCCACCTCGGTCGCCGGTACAGAGGAAGGCGGGAGAAGCTCCACTGACACAGAGCCCGCCTTCCTCAGCCGACTGGCCATGCTTGCCGCCCGTCTCGAGGAGAAACCGCCCCTCTCCGCGCCCAGCGCTCTTGCTGACACCTAATTTTAGGACATTGCGCTCAGGCTGGTTCCTCACGTAGCTAGCGAATCATGGGCGCGGGTGGGCGTTTCTAGGGCAATAGGATGTGATTCACAGGAAGTTCCTCGCTTTTTTTTTTTTTTTACACTTCCCCCCTCCCTTTTAAAATTTGAATTCCGTCTTTCTTTCGCTTTTTCACCCTCCGGGGAAGCAGCGTTTGTGCTGTTTTGCAGGTCCTTTTTTTTCCCTTTTCTTTGGAAGGCATCTTCGGATACTGGCAATGCAGTTCTTGAAAATTCGCATTTTGCCCGATTGTCAGGTTAGGCTGGAGTTCCTGTCGTCAAAGGCAGTTCGTTTCATTTATTTATGATTGCAGAAATCAATATCCACCCTTTTAAATACAAATTCCCCGCCCCAGCAAACTGCGGAAGACCAACCGACAGCCAAAAAGCGAGTTCGGGTCTTCCAAATGTAGTCCTTCCAAGGCTTTTTGCTAAAATGATTAAAGTATGATGGAATTGACTTACAGTTGAGGGGTAAGATAATATTTCTCTCGATGAAATCATTCACCTTATTTTCTATCAGAATGTTCTTTCTAAAAAAGAACTAAGAAAGTTAAAGGCTCCGCGCTTCTGTGATTGGTCAGATCCTCCGGACAAAATCGGCTTATAGGACATTTATTCAGCGCGCAGAAAAGATCTGAGTTCAACGAGCACATGGCAAGCGAGTCTTTTACTATCTTAAATTAATTTTAAATTAATTAAAATTAATGGTAAGCAAGTAGTAAATGGTAACAAGTCAATGTTAGTTGGAATGTTGATTTATTTCTTTTTCATATATTAAACGAATTTATTACAAATAGTGACCACGGAGAAGAAGTGTGAAGTTGGAGGAAATAAAATCCACCCTTCCTTTATAAAGGGAAAACAAATCTCTAGGAAGTGGTCCTGTTGGATAATCTAATACTAAGGATTAGTCTTTCTGCTATAGCTTATATATTAACCAGAATTGTTCACCTGTTTATAAAATAAGCTAAAACTGTTTCCTAGTTCTTGTTAAGTCCATCTGGGCAGCTCTTGGGTTTACAATACCCAAGCTTGGGTGTTTTCTTGCGGACGTTTCTTTACTAGGCTAGGTAACATTATCAGCGTTAACCTATTCTGATTACAGTGTTCAGCCACTCACTCTGAACTACTACACATTCTCTCTTCTATTGGAACATGAGAACATCTATTTAGTTTAGACTATTTTAAGCAAACAGGACTTCAGATGAGTTGGTACTGGCAGGTGAAAACTGCTATAATATCATGTGGGGAGGAATTAAATATGCCAATTTTAGGCTGGCAAGATTAAAAGAGCAATGGGGGAAAAGGGAGAGGAAAGAGAGAAAGCATCACTAAGCAGTGCATTTTTATTCATGCTTTATCAATACTTTTTTTTTCTTATTCTGGTTTTGTATCCGTTACACATTTAAAAGTTCCAATCTGGGGCATTTTGAGATTACAAGAACTAAAACTGCTTTTGAAGTAGGTATACTCTTGTAATTTTTCTAGTGGAAGTTTCACCAGGACTTCACTTATATCTACACTCCACTCTAGGAACCTGGATAATTTTTCATGAGTTACCAGTATTTTCAAGTACTCCAGTTGCCTTTTGGAAAAAGCATCTTTGGGACAACTGTAACCTGGATGATTGAGAATCTCCATAGATGACAGAGTATAATATTGGTCTTGAAATTACATGTTGAAGGTTGCACTGAGAATTACAGGATTTTTATCAAACAATCTTATAAATGTTAAGTAAGATTTTTTAAAAGATTCTAAATATTGTTTATAAAATAGGAATATGAATTACAGACAAAGCTATATATTCATTCCACCTTTTGCTGTACTTTTGTTTATTTCAGAGTGAATTGTGCTTTTTCAAATGCTAGGCAGAGCCTTTTATAACTTCTTATGCTCCTAGTGACTACATGGACACATCTCTGAAGTATTAGGTATGTTCACCACCTTGAGTTAACTTATAAAAGTAATAAAGACGAGATAAAAATGTAAATAAATAAGGGTTTGTGTCTCATTTCTTCCAATATGCTTTTTGACTTCCCAGTCCAGCCTATAGCTCTGGAATTTCCTGATCATTTCATATTCAAATATACGTGGTCTGACCCTAATTAGTTTTTTCCAAATACACCAAGGTGTGCTATATGTTATCACTTGCTCATATCTTTCATAGAGTTCAGTAATTTGGTTTCTCAATGACAGCATACTCTATATTTAAATAACCTTTAAAGGAAGCTCTTCCAAGTAGGGCTTTTATCATGCAATCACTCTGTCTCATATCCAGAATTTTTCAAAGCCCCATACTATACAGTACTGTAGTCATGTGTAACCCTCTTTTGTTTTCCCACTGCAGAAAATCTACACATTGAACATATATTCTATTCCTTCTAGGTTATTTTCAATTATTGCACATCTTTGCTACTGAAAGACTTTCATTTGAATGCTACTGATTTTAAAGGGATTCTACTCTGACTTAATGAGAACCAGTTTAGTGTAGTGCTTAAGGCATCAGGCTAGCAACTGGGAGACTGTAAATTCTAGTTCCGCCTTAGACACAAAGCCGGATGGATGAATGAGCCAATCACTTTCTGTCAATCCTAGGAAGGAGGCAATGGCAACCATTCCTGAAAAATCTTGTCAAGAGAATTGAAAGGACTTGTCCAGGAAGTCTCTGAGAATTGGACATGATTGAACAGAAGGGAAAAAAACTGCTGGGTTAATACTAAGCTTTCTAGAGACAGATCATGCTCCATGGAAAACATTTTTGAAATCTTCCAAATAGGTTTTTGAGTGCAATTCAAGGTGCTAGTTATCATCTATAAACTCCCATGTGGCATAGGGCCAGGTTATTTGCAGAACTGCCTGTTTCTGAGGGTATATGCCTATCTCATATGTTCCAGTTAAGGACACACTCTGGATTTCTTTATTAAAAGAATTCCATTATTATGAACTCAGGAAGTAGCCTTCTGTGTAGTGGCACCTGCCCTTTGGAACAATCTGTCCTCCAATTCTTCAGGCCTTTAGGAATGTGGTCAAACTTTGTTCTTTTCCCAGCTTTGGGGTCAGGTTGAACTATAGAAGTTTTCAATTCTGTTCACCATTTTATTATTTAATGAATTGTAATGAATATTATGTGTTAATTATGATTTGGGGGTGGATTTTTTAGTATCCTTCCCAGGCTCAAATAGTTATAATTGAGCAGCCATATAAATGCTTAGATAAATAGATTCCTGAGAGTTTGGAAAAATTACAAAGCTCTTAAACTCTACCAATCCATTCTGGGTGAAATGAAATGGAGAAAATGGGACAACAGTGAATTTTCTCAAGAGTGACTGTCTTGACAAAAAAATCCCAAGAGTCACAGCATAATTTTGTAAGAATTGCAAAATTATACCAGAAATCTGCAAGCTGTTCATCAGTCATACTTTTTTTCCCTGAGAAAGAAGATGTTTCACTTCTCATCCAAAAAACTTCATCGGTTTTGGCAGGATGGCGAGGACAATAGAAGGATTAATTCTGACAGGATGGGGGAGGGGAGGGTTGGAAGGATCATCTTTCTTTGCAGTCATCTGGTCATTAGCACTCAGAGTGATCAGACCATACCAGATGACTGCAAATAAATATAATCCCCCCCTCATCCTGTCAGAACTAATGACGCTTCTTGGACGAGAAGCAAAACGTTGTCTTCCTGGGGGTGGGGAGCCGTCTAGTTGCTTTTGCAGAAGCATCGAGACTCGGGGGCAATTGTTTCACACTATCACATTGCATGGATGGCTTGGTTCGTTACATAAGTGAAATAGGTATCAAATGTGTGTGTTATTTGGCCATTCAGAATCCTCAAAAGTACATTAATAGAGCTTAAAATACATAGCTGATTTAAAGTGGCTGCTTGGAGCCCAAAATAGTAGTCTCCTCTCCAAACAAATCAATATGCCAAAGTCACCTGTTGACAAACAAGGGTATGGAGCGCTGGAGACTCCACATAGGAAGGAGGCTTCATACTTTGTTTCTCTTCATATTTACTTTCTCTTTCAAAGGAAAGAAAACTACAATCCATGAAAGTTTATGCCATAATAATCTTTATGGTACCATAATGTTTTTGTTGTTGCCACAAACTAAGATCCCCCCCCCTTTTTTTTCTGGACAGTTTAGGAATTTAATAATTGCATTGTAAATTGGAAGAACAGGAGAATTCATATAGCGACTTGCTAAAATAAGATAGCTGAAGAATAATTATAGATCAGGAGCTGTAAGAAAAACAGTTCTCTTCTCTGATAACTATCTTTTGACATCAAAAGGAGATATATCCGAATGTAAGCCACAATTGACAATCTTAATATAGAAAGCTACAGCACGCAATCTTTAGTTTCTTTGTTTCAAACAGAACATTAGAGTAAACATTAGTATTTTGTATTTTGCCTGGAGGAAAAAAAAGGAAGGCAATGAGTGTATGTGTTCAAGTTAAAGCATGTACTAACTTCTCTGTAATCTTTACAACTAGTGTTTAAATTAAGAATAACTTGGCATGCAAAGTATTTCAGCACTCCTGTCCAAGTATTCCAAAGTCAGATCACTAAACAAATGTTTAATCACAAATGCAGAATGAAAGTAGGAAGCAGGATTTGCTGCTACTCTTTTACTGTGAAGAAGAAAAAAATCCGATACAATTAATTGGAGACATTTAGATAGTGCTAATATAAATGTTAGCGTGAATGACTGAAGGCCTTGAATCTAATGTATAAGTCTTTTCCTGCTCCAGTCCACATGATCTCTTTTTGAGATTTATAAATTTGGGAATTCTCATTGCTCTCCTGTATACTTAAAGTCTATAGATAAATTTCAAGATCCATTAGGTTTTGTAGTTTGACTAAAATGAAGTTTTTTTCTGTTTTGAACTAGAATGAAGATCCTATCCATAAACTTGTTTTAAATATAAACATTGTTTGTATTCCTCTTCAGCATTATGCCAGACCTAAAATGGAAGCAAACAAAAACTGCATGCTGTTAGCTAGCACAATTTTAATTTAATTACAACTTTGACCAGAAAATATAGTTATTCAGAGTATTTACATGGTGCCCCCCCCCATAAAATGCTTAAAATGATGGTTTTGGAATATTTAGAGGTGAGGGCCACACATATACATAAGCAATCTTGACCACTAACCAACAATTTTCAGAAGGTTTTGGGATGAAGTAGAATGAAGTTCCTCTTTTTTCATTACAAATCATTTTAAAATAATTGATTTCATCTAGCTAATAGCAATACAACAATACTAAGCAGGTCACTTATTCCTTTTCAACCCTAACCCTTTCTTTAAAATACTTTCTCTAAATATACTAAAATACAGTGTACCATATAGGCCAGCTGCAAATATGCTTTTATTAAATTGTTTTGTATCAACAGGACTAATTTTCAGGAGCTACAATGTTGCTGCTAACAATGCAGAAGGTTGGGCAGAAAGACAGGATATAAATAAAATCAGTCTATGACCCAATTCAGTAAAATGTGCAAGAGGTCTCCATATTTGTAGTAAGTGACTATTGTAAAGAGCTTCATCCTCCTCCAATAACCCCCCTAGTGGCACTTCTACATAGTTTCACTGTCAAATGGTTAAAAAAAAAAAGAATTATGCAATACTGGGACTGTTTTCATTGCTAATTGCCAAGGAATCTCATGAATTAAGTAGTTCTTCCTTCAACTGGCCAATGAAGCAGCACAAAAAAGTGTTTCAGCCAGTACCCTATTACCATACTTCTTTGTTTTTATGAAAGAGTGGAAAAATCTTGCCCCTAAAGCAGGTGATTGGCAAAATTCACCCTCAGGTACTTTTAATTCAAGAGGGGGGGAGGAATTCAATGGGCTAGGACAAAGTGATTTTGACTGCCACCCTACAGCAGCAATGAAAATGTTTCAGTGCTATGTTTGCAGTGTTTTCTCTGGTAAAGCCAATGAAATGAATTTAATTAACTAAGAAGATTCCCTCAAGACCAACTGTGTTGAAAATTGGGCATGATGCCAATCCAGATCAGCAGCCTCTGTATGGAACGGGTTTCATTAAAGGACTACAATGATTGTGCAGCAACCTCAAAGTCAGCTCTTCTATCCTTGAACAAAGAAACAGATTTCAGTCTTTGTTGCCATCTAGTGATCATCTGGTTTTTGGCAGCCCAGACTGGTAGCTCTGTCTTGAAAGATAGCTTATATCTGACCCTCTTTAAATTCAGAAAAGGATCAAATAATATTCCACATTACAGAGTAAGACTTCTTGTGATATGTGACATTGGAGTTGGAACAAGGATATTCCAACAAGGATGGCCAGCTTTCGGAGGCACCAGAAGACATGATCAGAACTTTGAGAGCAGGGATAGGAACATTCACAGACTGTTTAGTTTTGTGCAATCACAAAATGTATGCCATGATGAATGCTGCCAGTTCCAAAACTTAAATAGTATAGGACAAAGAAAGAATTACATATTCCCTTGCAGCTAAATCTTACCTTAAACAAGTTGATAAGAACATAGAGTATAATTATTCAAGATGTCACTACTTAGCTTCTGATAGAATAAAATATTTTCTTATCTTCCCCTTGACTGATTCCAACTTTTAAGAGCTTAACCAAGCAGTTTGTGGGAATTACAAATATATCAGGCTCCCAAACCCAGTTTGTTTTTTAAAAAAATGCCAGCTGAAGTGATGGCAGTCAAAATTATTTATGGAATTGTGTTTTTTAACCAAAATCAACATTAGGTTTTTACATTTTTCTAGACAAACTTATATCTCTCTATATAAAAGCGAAAACCACTCACACATTAATCACGAAATCTCCAGCACCGTAAACCCTACAAGCTTGAAATTTGCCACGCATGTTCCTTTTGGCTTCTAGGTGCTCACTAGGAAAGGATTTTTCAAAATGACCATCAAGAGCATTAGTATCTCCTATATTATTATAACACGCTCTGTTGCTAATTAGTTAGACGTTCTACTCCCCCTCCCAACTTGAAAATAACTCTGGAGAGAATGGGATAGCATAGGACAGGCTTCTGTGGGGCAAACCTCATGGAGAGAAGGAGCTAGAAAGCCTGAGGGAGAGAAGGGGATAGGAGAGGATCTTTGGGGCCAAGCCTGAGGGAGAGAAGGGGAGAGGAGAGGCCCATAGTAACTACTCATTAATTTTCAAACTCTAAGTGTCAATTTATAAGCCCCATCACATAGTTTTGTAGCGAAGCACGGGTGTCCAGCTAGTTTAAATATAAAATTGAGTATTGTAGCATAAAAATATGACATAAAATTTACACATACACATTCCATAAAGGTTACCATCACACGACTTTAACAATCTTTGAGTAGAAAAATGTAATTTCAAATCTGACTCTTTTTAAGGACATGTTTCTTACATCACCTATTTAACCCAGAGGGGAGGAGATGCAGCTGATTCGGGATCCCGTCACCATGGGAACCATGGAGCGGAAGTCCTGGAAAGGGACCTGATCCTATAGTCGCGTTATTATGGCGTCACTAAATTCTTTCCGTAAACAAACGTGGGTATACTTTCCCACCCAACGAAAGCGCGCGCGCGCGTGGGAACCGCCTGCGAGGAGGGCGGGAGCTTCCTCATTGGGATACGCTAAAGCCGTTTTAACCCGTGTGGTGAATCTTTCCCTGCTTCCGGTTAACACTCCCCCCCCACCCCCGCTTTGAAGAAGAAACAGTCGAGCTAGTGAATTCGGGTCAGGCGGGGTAGCGGACGCCGCGCTTGCGGGGGCTTTTTGACCGTTGCCTGGGCATTTTATCGGACCGCTGGGAAACCCCGCGGCTGAGCTCGAGCGGATCCCGCCCGCTCTCCTTTGTTGGGCGCGTCTCTTTCTGGAGGGGGCGCTGCCTTGACCCTGCTCCCGCATGTTTGGCCTCTACCCGGTGTGGGAGGCAGTGGTAGGGAAGCGGATGGCGCTGCCTTCAGTTCATAGATGCGTCCAAGTGAGTGAGGAAGAGCGTCTGGCCGGGGCCGCTTGGAGCAGCCGAGTTTCCCTCCACCTGCGCCAGCCAGAGAGGCTTGGATTGGAGTTCCCCTAATCCACAACCGTTTTGGGTGGGAAAGACAGACCGTTGTAGGCAGGGCAGAAGTTCTCAGTCTGGGCCATTTTGAGGCAAGCGGGAGGGGAGGTCAAGTGAGAAATGGCGAGGGTTGGAGTCCACCTGTCCCAAAGTTGCCAAGGTTGAGAAACAAGTTTGATGTAGGGCGTCGCTTGGGGCAGGCTGCTCCGGAGACCCACTTCGGGGAGAGAGAGAGGGAAAGACGAGCCGCGGGAAGATGGCTCCAGGGTTTTTACCCCAGAAATTCCCGTGTATCCTTATTCTGCAGATCACGCAAGGCGCTCAGTTTTTGACATCGCTCTTCAAAGAGCCAAGTCCGAGGCAATTAAAAAAATAGATATTTTTCCTCCTGAAGGAAACAGTACTCTCCCCCCCCCAATGATAAATGGGGCTGGGAATGTCATGTTGGGGGTATATACTTCACCAAAGCAGTACAGCTTTCTTTTTTCCCCTGTATCAGGAGTGTTTCAGCCTTTGGATAGCTGCGTGATTAGTAGGAAGGTAGCTTTAATCTTCTCCAGCAGTCTCCATTCCAGCCCCACCCCATGGTAAATTTTATAGCTATTAAAAATGCCTCCATTCTCTCCTTTTAAATTTGTACTCCTAGTAAAAATTATTCCCAATGCAAACCAGTCTAAAATGACATTTTTCTTGCAATTTCTTGCAATAGTAAGATAAGGGGGGATTTTGGGGGACCTATATCTCCCAAAATTTATACATGCTCAAATTAAACGGCTGCATAGCTGATTCCATCAAAGTTTCTCAGGGGTAATGCTACTCTTGGATATATATTTTATTTAGGATACAGGAATATTCCTTAATGGGAAACCAGTAGTAAAAATAGTATATAAACATGTGTAGTAAAAGTTTAGAGCTGGAAGGGGCTGTTTTTACTGCCAATCTGAGAAACACTAATTAAATATTATAATAGCATATAGGCTTTGGGGAGCTCAGAATGCCCATATAAACTAGACCTGCAGAATTTATACTTTATGATGTGAATAGAGAATGAAAGTGGAATGAATTTAAAATTAACAAAGTTTAGATAAGCAGCAGGCTAGCAGATGATGTACTGATTGAAAAGTGGGAATAAAGTGAAAAAAGAGTTTTATATGATATGTAACACATGTAGATGACTTGCAACATGCTTCTCACCTTAATCAAATTTATATATATGTGTATGTATGTATATATATATATATATAACTATACACACACACACACATATATATATATATGTATTAATGTCAGAATTAGAACTAAAAGATGCCTGTTGGGGGAAAACTTTCAATTATAGGCTTCAGTGATTGATAATTTTACGAAGTAGGGACATTTGGTTTTTTTTTTGAGTTTTGAAAGTATGTGTAGGTCGGTTCTTTAAAATGTTTGATTAAAACAAGGGCAGCCTTCAACAACGAAGGATGAGTTATTTTATACTATGAGGGTTACTACATTACATTAAATAACTAAGCTGCATTTACTTGTATGTTTATTAATTAAATTTATATGTCACCCATCTTTCCAATAAGTCAATTCTGGGCAACTCTTTGTTTTTAAACACAAGAAAAAATATTTCATTTTTCCAGCTCAATCAAGAAAATCAGCTGCTCCTTAAAAAGCTGAGGCATGTACGCCTAAAAAACAAGCAGCTGGAATATGATGTAGTGCAGCTGCATGATAAACTACATGAGCAAAAGAAGTGCTTGCCTGCCTGTGTCACAAGAAAAGAGTAAGAATGGCTATACTCTAAGCACGTGCCTCTTAAGAATCTAAGATTTCAGTTAGTAGTCTAATATGTATAAAGATTTAGCTTTTCGTCTGTTGGTTTGTTGATTAAAGCAATATTTGATTCAAGCTTACATAGCATCATTGATGAATGAGTTTAAATTGAGGGCCACACCACCCACTTTTAGATATTCTTTCCTAAAGTTTATTTTTAAAAAAAATTCATATAGAAATATAATGATTAAACATTAAGCTAAATATCTGTATCATTACCCAACACAGTATTTTAGCATAAAATACTAACTTTTGATAGATTCAATTGGTCTATAATTAATATTTGTACAGGTTGTAGCCCCAATTCTTGAAAGGTTTTGGCCTGTTTTAATTAGGACATAGTGTGGCATTTGCAAGGTCAGATTAGTACTTTTGTTATCTTAATGAAAGGCTCTCTCATTAAAGGATGAAAGGATTCTTGGTTTTTGCGGAATATAGGCAAATGGAACTAGGTTCTCTGCCTGACTTGATGGGATATCCTGTATGTCCAATAAATAGATTTTACTGGATTTCAGAATGTTTAGTTTCAGAAAGATGAACTTGGGTTTATAGAGTTAAATGGAAATCATATGTATGAGAATTGAAATTACAGTAGTTTGAGAAGCTGGCAGAGGCTTTTTAATCAATGTATACAATACTTAAATTGGAAAATATGGCAAATTTTAAACTAGCTTTCCTAAATGTCTTGCTTTACAACTCCGATCATCTTAATGTAGAGTAGCCATAGGCCTAAAGTGTCAAGGCATAATGAGAATGTAGTCACAGATTATCAAGTTAGAGACTACTATATACTTCAATTTATGATCACATAACTATCCATGTCTTTTTCCTCTGATTATGTGTTTTTTATATAGATGTATTTATTTTCTTTGAGATTAAAAAATATTTTAGTATTTTTTCTCAACATTATTGGATTTTTATGAGGATTAGATAACCTCATTACATTAGTAATATTTATTCAGTCTGAAGAAAGAGTAATTGGCTGTTTATTTTAGTGTGCAGATTCAAACAGAATTTCACTTGTACCATAAAGGTGATGGGGTTCATCACAAAGAACATGATGTACTAAAGGAACATGCCAGGTGAGTTTTGGAACCCTAGTCAAACATACATTTTAGCAAATAATTTGGGTTCTTGATTAACAGTTCATACAACATTGTCTGCAAACAAAAGCCTTTAATGACACTACAACCACTCCTGATACGTTTATCCATAAATATATGGATCCATCTTCGAGTTATTTCTGCTCAGTGTTGAACCATTTGTTAATATATTTTATATTCTTTTATTTGATTGTATAAAAGTGTTCTGCTAGTTCCCCCTTCTATAACAGATGATAGAACAAAAGTTATATTTGTGGTTTATGTTTTTAATTACATATTGCCAAATAGAAAGCTTCCAAAGACAAGTCATCTACAGTTATAAAAATAAAGTTTTATAGTAAAACATTACCATATTACTGGTAAAATGCTCACTTTAAAAAAATCCCTCAATATTTTATTGGTCCATTGCTGGACCAGTGGACTGCAGCAGATGCATGGTTTTTTTATTTCTCCCAATGGGACACCAGTGGGTACATTATATCCCTATTCCATTGCTTGTGCAGTGAATATGAGAGGAAAAGAAACATGGATATGCAACAATCCAGTGGTCCCCAACCCAGTCTGTGGCTTGTTAGGAACTGGGCTGGGCCAGAAAGCTGGAGTTGAGCAAGCAAAGCTTCATCTGTATTTGCAGCTGCTCCCCAGTGCTACCACCTGATCTCCATCTCAGATGGAGATCAGGCATGAGATTTTCACAGGAGCACAAACCCTACTATAAACTTTGCGTGTGAAGGATATAGGTTGTATACTCTTCCTTCCCCTCCTGGTGCATGGAAAACCTGTTTGGTCCCCAGTGCCAAAAAGGTTGGGGACTGCTGCAACAATCCACTGAAGGAAAAGATGTTGAAGAACAGAGTACAACAAGTCAAGTGCAAGGGAGTCCACAATGGGGATCCTACTCAGAACCTCCGTTAATTAGAAGCAGCCAAAGTGTGGTGAATTGTCCAGTATTAGATTACTGATTTTGAAGGAAGATGATCTCAGGCATTCAGAGACTCAGCCATGAATAAAAAAGTGATTGTTGCTTGCAATTCTTGCATTACATGAGAGAGGTGCTGAAGCAGGGAACTTCTACCAGTTGGAGGCTGTGTTGAGCACACACTATACAGATCACCAGGCCATCACTGCGGCTAAAACATAAATAGCTTCTATTCTTTTTCAGTGAACGTTTGTATAGATCAGCGGTTCTCAACCTGGGGGTCGTGACCCCTTTGGGGGTCGAATGGCCATTTCACAGGGGTCGCCAAAGCCCTATCTCGCCCCCCCCACACCTTCATTCACACTCTGCCTCTGTTGGATCGCCCGGTCGCCGTTCGCTTACCCCGCCCACTCCCAATCTATTGCTGCCTCCGGAGTCCCAGCTGGTGGCTAGAGGGAAAAAAACTTTAAATTCTTGCCGCGGGGCTTCAAAGAGCTAGCTGCAAAGAGGTAAATTCCTGGAGCAAATTTTTTTCCCCCTAGCTATGCTGAAAAGCAAAATTGAAACTAAAGAAGGGTCTTCGTTGCAACGTGACAAAATGAGGCAGAGAGATTTCTTTTTCTTTTTCCTCACCAAAAAAGGTAAGTGCAAAACTGCAAACAATGGGAAATTTAGGGCAAGAAGAGGTTCAAGATTTTAAAACACAAAAGAAAAAAAGCTCTATTTAACTAGGGAATTGTAATAATTGAGATACTATTAATGGTATATTGTGTTGAAAGCAGAAATGGTTGTGGTTTGGAGGAATATATGGGGGAAATTATTTGGTTTATTATTATTGGTAAATATAATTAATTGATTTGTAAGAAATTGGATTGCATGGAAATAATTGGAATATTCATGTTCATATTGATTAATATACAAAAAAGATAGTTATATAACTAATTGATTTATATTAAAATGTTGAATTTGTATTAAACAACTGTATTACATAATTAACCAATGTGAGGATGGATATAAAAATAGATGACAATACAAAGGAGTATAATATAGAATAGAAGGGAAAAATTGAATTTGATTAAGATTAGAGATGAGGATGAAGGGTAATATTGGTTTTTTTAAAAAATAGATGAATAAATATGGTAAAAAGGAAATATAGAAATTGTAAATTTAATTGAAATGACTAAATACTGTGTTGGAAGAAATATCCTTCTGGGTTCTGCTCCAAGTGGGGAAAAAGACACTGGAAACATGGAGACTGCTTGGAAAGATGGTTTAATGGTGGACAGGATCACATGGCTTGATGGGGCCCATTGTGTTAGTTTCTGTTGCTATTGTGTTGCAAATGTCCTTTGACAAAGGATTGACTTTCTGCCTCTGGCCCATTAACAAAGGGTGGGGGACAGGAAGGTGGGAGCTGCTTTGTCTGTAAAATATGCTTCTCCATTTCTCATCCAGGGAAATATAATATTCTGCCTTTTTAATATTTCCCAAAATATTTCATTCTTCTAGGAAAGGGGTGGGTGCTAACCTCCTACAACTGTTTAAATTTTGAACCGGCCAAATACTCTGTTCAAAGAAAATACGTTGTATGTTTTTATGTGTGTTTCTAATTATTGCTATTTATTTCTATTTGTTCTCTTTTATTCTTTAAAGTTTAACAATTCATTCTTTATCTTAATATCTTAATATTTGTTTGGGGTTAGCTTTCTTCCCTTTCATCTTTTTTATTGTACAGCAATCTTTCTCCTCAAACCTACCACCTCTGTCTTTTCTTTCTTACTTATTTCTCTTCCCCCCCTCTTCTTCTCCTACTTCCTCTTTCTCCTTCTCCTCTCTTCCTCCCTCTCTTACCTTCACTCCTCCTCTAATTTCCCTTCCCTTCCTTCATCCCTCTCTATTGCTGTATCCTTTTATGCATATGGACTACTCAGAGGGCTGAAAAAGTTATTTTTGACTGGTCCTCGCACTTTTGACCAGTCCTCAAACTTACGACTGTCCTCACAATTTATGTTTTTGCCCTATCTTGTCACCATGGTGAAGAGAAGCAGTTGTGAAATGAGTGACACAGTTGTTAAGAATGGTACAATGGGCATAAATGATGACCAGTCATAACTGCGAAGACCGGTCAAAAGTGCGAGGACCTGCCAGAAATCACATTTTTCAGCCCTCTGGGTAGTCCTTTTGTGCACAGGGACTACTCAGAGGGCTGAAAAAGTTATTTTTGACTGGTCCTCGCACTTTTGACCAGTCCTCGAATTTACGACTGTCCTCACATTTTACGTTTTTTGCCCTATCTTATACCATGTTGAAGAGAAGCAGTTGTGAAATGAGTGACATGGTTGTTAAGAATGCTGCACAGGCATAAATGTGAGGATGGTCATAAGTGTGAGGACCAGTCAAAAGTGCGAGGACCTGTCAGAAATGACTTTTTTCAGCCTTCTGAGTAGTCCCTATACACATAGCCATGGCCATCCTGTCACATTACCAGCTAGCCACGCCCACCCAGTCACATGACCTCCAAGCCACGCCCACAAAATAAGCCACGCCCACAGAACCGGTAGTAAAAAAAAATTAGAACCCACCCCTGGTTGGGGGTCACTACAACATGAGGAACTGTATTAAAGTGTCGCGGCATTAGGAAGGTTGAGAACCACTGGTATAGATACTCATTTTTGGAAGACTAACGATTCTTCTTTTGCTTCCAGAGTGCTTCAGATGTATAATGAACTGAAGAAAAGGTACAATAAAGAAGTCAAAACAAATCAAAGACAAAATGAAACAGTTGCAATGCTGTCTGTAAGCTTTAATCATTTGATCACTTTGACATAAACTAAAAAAAAATGAAATCTGTTTGGTATATATAAAATATTAGTAGTACAGTATTTTTGTATATATATATATATATAAAAGCGAAAACCACTCATGCCGTAATCACGAAATCTCCAGAACCGTAAAACCTACAAATTTGAAATTTGCCACATATGTTCATCTTGGCTTCTAGGTGCTCACTAAGAAAGGATTTTTCGAAATGACCATCAGAGCATTAGTATTTCCTATATTATGATTAACACACTCTGATGCTAAGGAGTTCTACTCCCCCTCCCCACCTCAAAAGAAATCTGTTCCAATGCAAAACAAGCAGAGGAGAGGAATTTCACTTTCAGTTTTACTTTCACAGCAGGAAGCAGCTTTAATACAAAACACTTGAGCTAAGCCATGGACAGGCTCCTTCCTGTCGCCTCCTTGCTCACACAGCAAATACTGTTTCACTTTCCAAACAGCCTTCTGATGCTAAGGAGTTCTACTCCCCCTCCCCACCTCAAAAGAAATCTGTTCCAAATGCAAAACAAGCAGAGGAGAGGAGTTTCAGTTTCAGTTTTACTTTTACAGCAGGAACCAGGGGATAGGATAGGGGAGGCTTCTGTGAGGCAAGCCTGAGGGAGAGAAGGGGATAGGATAGGGGAGGCTTCTGTGGGACAAGGCTGAGGGAGAGAAGGGGATAGGATAGGAGACGTTTCTGTGGGGCAAGGCTGAGGGAGAGAAGGAGAGGAGAAGCCGATTGTAATTACTCATTAATTTTCAGGCTGTAAGTGTTGATTTATCAAGCTTGATCACATAGTTTTGTAGTGAAGCACGGGTATCCAGCTAGTGTTTCATAAGCATATTGCAAGATACATTTACTGGTCTGTTTTTCATTCTATTGCGGTTTCATTCTAATAAGAAATGGTCACATGTACAATATCTCTGTCCATCACTGCTATTAAAGTTAAATGACAATGTCATGGAGTATCTGTGTACAGACAATGTTTATTACATTGCGTTCTTGAATTCTAATTCTTTCAAATACTGAAAGAACAGTCATAAACTTTCCCTTTTTAAGTTAACATGATAATCATTTGGATTGAAATGATGTAGGATAATTTAATTTGACCTTTTTATGATACATGTCTTATTTTTAAGTGTGTCTCTGTCAGTGTCTGTATACCTACCTACCTACCTACCTACCTACCTACCTATCTATCTATCTATCTATCTATCTATCTATCTATCTATCTATCTATCTATTTATCTATTTATCTATCTTCTTGTCATGCTCTTGCTTTAATCTCATATCCAGCCCATGAGTGAGGCAGTCTTATAATGCATGCCATTTTGCAAAAATATGTTAGTGGCATTTATCATTTCCAAGCTTGTTTAAATAGGACAATGACTCTGTGACTTAAAGAATATGTGACCCTTTAAATAACATTTTATGTTTTAAAAGTATGTTTAAGAATGTGTTACTTTTCTTGTTCTTTAAAGTTGTTCAACTATTTAAACAGGGTAAAATTAATGATCTGGAACACCAACTTCATTTAGCAAACCAAAAGATAAATGCCTTGGAATATAAAAAAAAGGACAAATTTGTTTCAATTCAGAGAAGAATGTCATCTGACAAATGTATGTGCAAAAAGAAGGGAAGCTGTTCCTGCAAATATTTAGGTAATACTTTTTTCCCCTCATATATCTGGTTCATTGGCTCTTGATCTTGTGTTACTTTTTGACATATTCTCATATATGACTAAATGAAAATTAGAATTTTCTAAATGTTTATACTGGGCATAATCCCAGAGTCCCAGAAACAGAGATGCTTTCTCAGTTCAGATTGTTGGGGCTGGGTGAGCAGAAATTGATTCAAGAACCTTCCCAATTCTCTTCTCTGCTGCTAAACTGGGGGGGGGGAGGGAGGGGGGAGACTTATACCAGCTCACAATGATAAGAGGAAAAAAACAAGCAAAGATTTCATATATTTTTGCTGTGCTGTACTGTACAGATTTTTAAGTATGGTTTATTTAAAAGCAAAAAAAGAAATGGAAATCTTCTAATCTTATTCATGAGATGGTAGAGATAGCATATGAGCCTTAGTATGCTGTGGTCATATTTCACAAAAATTTCACCTCTGCATCTACACGTACATTGTTCAGTGAGAGATGTAATGTATATTCATAGAAAGGAAGGGGCAAGGCAGCAGGATCCACAGGATTTAAGGAGCTGCACCTGATTCCTTGATAGTCCATGTGCCACTCCTGAGCCAAAGATACTACCTTAGAGTCTATAAATTGAAATCCAGTAGTTTGAGTACAAGATTGTTCTTGCATTGAAAATGCATATAATTAACCCCCTCCCACTCCAAACAGACTTAGCAATTAAAAACACTTTGTATTAAGATGCAAACATGGCTTAATGAAGTGGTACCATAATTATATTTCGTGTAATCTCCTTTATTTAGAGCAAAGGTGGGGACCTATGGCCCTTTTATGACTTGTGGACTTCAACTCCCAGAATTCCTGAGCCAGCAGCAAGTCATAAAAGAGCCATAGTTCCCCATCCCTGATTTAGAAACTTAAATTTAGAATGATATGAATGCTTACTGTTGTTAAGGAGAGTTGATGGTATGTAGTGTTTATTTTCAGACTAGAACCAGGAAATAGACCATCACTTCTCATAAAGTTTACTGGCTTTATTTCTGTCAGTGTAACCTATATTATAATGAGAGTAGGTAGAAGAGATGTGTATTGCTAGTGAAGAAGTGTTATTCTTATCACCTTATAGAAAGTGCTGTCAATAAATTAATGATGTGCAATTCTGAATAGATTTTTAAATTATAATCTGGTACATATCCTCTGTGCAAATTTGAATATAATGTAAATACTGTCGCTGAGCCACATCATTTTTTCCCCCTGTATTTTATCTGTACTACTTCTCTGGCCCCTGCATTACATGAACTGGTCTTTGCTGCTGTAGAGAATTCCCTGCCCTATACAGCGAAAATGTTTTTCTGTACTTGGACCAGAAACCCATAAAACAAAGGGAAGGACTTAGTTTTTGGCCTAAGACAGGACTAGAACTCCCAGTGTCTTGGTTTATAGTGTGATTGCTTAACCCAGGGATCTGCAACCTTAAACACTCTAAAGAGCCACTTGGACCCAATACCCACAGAAAAGAAAACACTGGGAGCCACAAAACCCTTCCTGTGCCTGACTATTTCTTGAGTGGCCACAAAACTAGCATATGTAGTTGAATTAAACGTTTTGTTTTCTTCTGAAACTTTTCTTTTCTTGGATTTATCCATGGTTGGCCTATTGGGGGTTGAAAAGCTCAATAAATTGTGTGCCGGCGGGTGTTGCACATTGGTGGTTGTGACACATATTTTGAGTGACAGGGAGCCGCAGCAGAGGGGTGAAAGAGCCACATGCAGCTCCAGAGCCGCAGGTTGCTGACCCCTGGCTTAACTACGCCATTAAACTTCATACTGTTAACATTTCCCCCCAAGACTTTAAGACTGACAACTGCTTTATACCACTACTTGCAGATCTAGGGTTTCCAGAGTCTTGAGACTCTCTTTTCCCAGCTGTATTTCCTTTGATTGTCTCATTATTCTGAATTCACTGTAAGATATTTGACTCTTCAGCAAATAAAATCAGATGATGATAAGACCATAAAACTGAAATTGAAATACTGTATTCTCAGGTCTTAAAACTGATACAGTTCCTAAGAGGGAAATCTGATTTTCAGAAGTGAAAACAATTCTAAGATACAGTTAAAAAAGAATAAGAACATAATTTTTATCTTTTAGTGACTTTAAAGAGATTACTTATTGTACTTTAGACCAGCTGCTTTTTGAGACACAGCGACTGAAGATGGAAAATGAAACTCTCTCCAAAGAAAGAAGAATGTTAAAAAATGAGCTTGCGGCATTAGATAAGGTGGGTTCTTTTTTTAAAATCTTGAGGCAATGTAGAGAAAGCTTCTATTTGCAAATGGAAAATGTCTGCTATGGAAGATAAAGTTCTGTGTATTTCAGACAGTTCTTTGAAAACTTCTAAGTGCAGGGTGTGATACTGTATAGGATGAACTCATGCTATAGATTATAATATGAAGATGGATAATAAAAAGTCCTAAATATATAATCCTTTCATCTATGTACAGTCAATTATATTTTCAAATAATTTCTTGTTATTTTAAGATTGTAATATATCTGTTAAGAGATACTGTATACATCATTTAATTTGGACACTATGTTTATCTGTAGAAAGGAAATTTGTTTTATGTCTTTGTATTTGGAACCTTAGAAATATGGTCAGTTGAATTCATTATTTTAACAGATTTTATATACATAAGTACAATTTATAAAAACAAAACACAGACTTTTATAATTAAGGAATTAGTGTTAGGGCAGGAGTTGTAAGGAGTTGTAATTCATTCTTACAAATGTAGGATTCATTATTACAGCTGTAGGATTTGATAACAATTTCTTCAATTAGCAAATATTGTAATTATTTGAAGAGAGGATGTTCTTTGTAGCAAGGAGCAAAGTTTGAGACAAAGTAATTCAGAAATAGAATTTAAGTAAAATATTTTGTGTCATAACTTTTCAGGATTTCTTTGATGAAATAGAAGACTTAAAATATGCTCTACAAGAAGCCATAAAGCTGAATACCCACTATGAAAAGTGTTTAAAACAGTTAAGTTCCACTTATGGAATCACTCTTACATCAACGTTGACAGCTGGCAATCCTCGTACATCTTTGTGGAAATAACATGCTCAATCAAGATGATTATTAAAGTATACTGAGTACACAGAAAAATAAACTCTCAACAGAGTAACTTCTTAATTTGTGCAATAAAATCATGACACCCATTTTTCATTTTGCATAATTTGTATATTTTTTATTATTATTTAATAAATTTAGGACTGGCTTTAATGCAGTGCTTAACTGGTTTAGTATTCAGTAAGTGAATGTGAACAAGGTACTTAAGCTCATCCGTTTTCTCTGTCTTCTGGAGGCATATATCTAAAGAGGAAAATAGAAGTAATTGAGTCTGATTTTAAACTAATTGTAGCACTTCTTTATGTTTGAACTTGGGGACCTATGTTTAGCTCAAACTATGGCTTGTTCAATCTGAAGCTATTTCAAGGTTATTTTATAACTTAGATGTGTGGAACTTTTTTTGAAAATGAATGTGTGTGATATGTCCAGGAAGTCATTGTTAAAACAAGAATTTTGGGCTATATTCTCAGCCCATTTTTCCTTACAGAGTTATTAAGAGAATTACATGTAACAGGTGGTTACCAACCAGTGGTCCCCAATCTTTATGGCTTGGTGGCCCAGCAGGGGGAGAGAGGGGAACCAGCCCATGTGCGTCTGTGCCAACCATCATTTGCGCAAGTCGAGCTGACCATGTGTGCGTTGGCCAACTGCTCACATAGCCCAGTTCCAATTGGGCCAATAATTTAGGTCAGCAATTCTTATATTTAAAAATACATTTTTAGGATGATATACCTACAGAATATATGTATCAAAGAATAAAAGCTACATCGTTTACATTTTTAAAAAGGTTCTTAGCATTTTATGTAACCCTTAAGAGTGTGATAAGGGACATTATCAATTCAAGCAATTGATTAAAAATGCTGTTAAAAACTATCGAACATTCTCTTGTTTGAACCCAAATCCTAGATAACATCAGATGTTGTCACAGTCATCTCATTGAGATCTGCCCCTATGGAGCCCAAACCTAAACAAATATGAGCTATTTTATAAGCAAATTATTTAGCAAGTATATCATAGGCTTACAAATGAATCATCTTGCTTATCTATCCCCATCAAGAGATAAATCATCCTAGTAGTTTAAAACGGGTCCCAAACCCCCAGGCTGTAGCCCACGACTGGGCTGTGGCCCAATTGGAACTGGGCTTTCTGTGCTCGGTACTGCCTGATTTTGGAACGGTTCTTTGGACCAAGGCGACACTGCTGCGTCGATTGCATCGGAATAGCCCGGCTCGCCCAATTGCAAGCCACGATCGCCATGGAAACGCCTAGCCGGTAGGAACCTGCAGAGCAGCACCTTAGGGATGTGAAGAGCCAGCAAGAATTACTCATCCGAACACCCCACGAGGCCAGCGCGATCCAGGTAGGGATGCCCGCTCAGACCACCATCTACTCGAGCGGGCGAATGAGAGACGCGGAAAGCAGTTTCCTTCGATTCCACCCCCGGCCGGTGTTGTATAACTTCCGCAAAACGGACGACTTCTCCGTAGATGCGGCGGGTGCGCACACACGTGCCTGGCGGGTGACCCTGCCTTCCTTCATTCATTGCCGCCTCTCTTGTCTTCCGGGGTTTGGTGGTACGGCTCCTGCGTCAGCTGCTCCCGACGGCCTCACGAAGCGGAGGCGAAGCTTTCCCACGGGCGCCTTTCGTTCTTGGAGCGGAAGATCCGCTGCCTCCCCCCCCCCGCCCCAATCTCCCTCCCTCCTCGGTGAGTTGTAGCAACGCTCAGAATCGCCTTGAACAGCGAGATGGGCGCAAAGAAATCTGACATCATCATCATCATCCTCATAGCGCTGAAAGGTTGCCTTGTTTGCAGGATCGAAGGAAGGAAAATAGAGGAATTCTTGTTGGCTGAAAAAGATTCGCCTTTCGATCACGATTTACGATTCGAAATGATTTCAGTTTTGTTTTCCGAGCTTTCTGCGCTGGGAGAACTTAAGGAAGCGCTGTTGATGCTGCTCCTCCAAGCGAGAAATGGGTCGGGTTCATGCGTGGCGCTGAGGCGTGATTTGCGTGGGTCGGTGTCACGCGTTTTGCATTGCCAAGCCGTTGCCGCAGTTCATCACGGCGGAACTAAGCAAATCTCTTTTGGGCTTCCGGCGTTGAAGATGGGTGTTCTTTGTCAGATTTCATTTTCGTGACAGGTCACGAAGTAACGAGAAAAGCTTTGGAGTTTAGCATTAATGCTTTCAATGGGGTGGGTGGTTCATCCACTCAAAGCAAGGCGGAGGAAAATGAGGAGCTGCTCGATGAAATATTGGAAATTGTGCCCAGCAATCGCCTTGTGCTCCTTGATCTTCTTTTGGGAAGACAACTATGTTTGGCCCCAAGGTGTGCTCTCTACTTCGTGAAGATTTAGTTGAGGGGTGTCCAACCTTGGCAATTTAAAGACCTGTGGACTTTGGGAATTCTGGGAGTTGAAGTCCACAAGTCTTAAAGTTGCCAAGGTTGGACAACCCTGGTTTAGCTGGTCCTAATGAAAATTATGGTAATGCTGAACTAAGTTGACCCAGAGAATGTCAAAAGGTGTGATACAGTGACCTGATAAAATGATACCCCCCCTAAAATAGTTTATTTCAAGGAGTTAGAATTGGGAAAGAAAGAATGCTGTTTACTTTTAATAAGTACATATGTGTACTTATATGTCTGTGTATTGTATTGTATTGTATTGTATTGTATTGTATTAATTATATTATATTATATTATATTATATTATATTATATTATATTATATTATAATATTATATTATATTATATTATATTATATTATATTATATTATATTATATTATGATATTATTACCGTTGTTGTTAGTCGCGAAGTCATGTCCGACCCATTGAGACCCAAGGACAACGTTCCTCCAGGCCTTCCTGTCCTCTGAAGTCCATTTAAGCTCACGCCTACTGCTTCAATGACTCCATCCAGCCACCTCATTCTCTGTCATCCCTTTCTTCTTTTGCCCTCAGTCTTTCCCAGCATTAGGCTCTTCTCCAGTGAGTCCTTCCTTCTCATTAGGTGGCCAAAGTATTTGAGTTTCATCTTCAGGATCTGGCCTTCTAAAGAGCAGTCAGGGTTGATCTCCTCTAGGACTAACCGATTTGATCACCTTGCAGTCCAAGGGACTTACAGAAGTCTTCTCGAGTACCACAGTTCAAAGGCCTCAATTCTTTGGTGCTTAGCCTTTCTTATGGTCCAACTTTCACAGCCATATATTGCAACTGGGAAAACCATAGCCTTGACTATAGCACTTTTGTTGGCAGGGTGATGTCTCTGCTTTTTAGTATGCTGTCTAGATTTGCCATATAATAGTAACAGCCAATTTCCTGGCAGTCTGGTTTGCTGCTTATCAGTCCCTTCCCCCTCTCTTGCAATTCCCTCTGCAGAGCTGGCTTCCAAGCATGAATGCTGATGTCTGAAAAGGGAAAGCACTGTATTAAAGGCACACACACACACAAAAAGAATGTTCAAAGCAAGGGGCATAGTTTTGCATCAAGGAAGTGAGTCTGCTCAGAAAGGAGGAAGGCATTTTCTGTTGGCCTTCCATCCAATCTACATTATTAATCTTGGTTAATTGTTATGGGATAAGAATTGCCTTAGAAAATAAGGTGAGATTTTTTTGATGGTCTCTGGAAATAACTATCAATTTGGCTGGACTCCTTTGACATTCTTGCAACCTACATAAAAAGCATAAAATGAAATGAAAGAAAATGGAATGTACCACAGCTATAGTAATGAATAGAAATTAAATGGTTATTGTTGCAGTATTGTATTAATTTAAATATTAAATGATTTACAACTGTTCTTTTGATAGTTACAGAAATAGTACCGTATTTTTCGGACTATAAGACACACTCCCCCCCCCATAAAGTAGGTGGAAATGTCTGTGTCTTATAGAGTGAATGTTGCTGAAGCCCCACCCACCCGCAGGCCCCCACCCTTCGGCCTCTGCCTCCTGGAATACCGATGATCAGCTGTTCCAGGCTGCAGGGATTGCCGCCACTTATCACTGTCTCTGTGTGCCCCATTTTCAGCCTCTGTGTGTCCTGTTTCTGGCCTCCGTGTGCCCCATTTTTGGCCTCTGTGCGTCCCGTTTTCTGCACATCCCATTTGGTGGTGATAGGCAGCAACAGCAATCCCCGCTGCCTGAAACGGGCTGAAAATGGGGCACACAGATCCCCGCAGCCTGGAACAGCTGATCATCGGTATTCTGGGAGGCCGATCCAACTGCCAATCAGCTGTTCATGCTAAATCAGGCTGTGCTGAAGCTGACCAGGCTGTTTGCTGTTTGCTGCAAGGAGGCAAATTGCTGGGAGATAGAGGCAGATTTCCCCCCCCCCTTGTTTTCCTCCCCAAAAGCTAGGTGTGTCTTATAGTCTGGAGCGTCCGATAGTCTGAAAAATATGGTAAATTTTACTCTTTCAGTTCTATTGCTCAGTGATGAGCAGATAGTCCCAAAGGTGCTTTTTCAAGAGGCACCTGGACTTTCTGGTTTTTCTTTGAAGACTTTTTGCTTCTCATCCAAGAAGCTTATTCAGAGCTGAAGATAGGAAGCGAAATGTCTTCAAAAAAAAACCAGAAAATCCAGGTGCGTCTTGAAAAAGCACCTTTGGGGCAACCATGACCTGGATGACTGAGGATCTCCATAGATATTGAGGGAGTAGATAAAGCACTGAAAAACCCTTCAGGATTTCAGTGAAAAACTCTTTAAGTGTGAAATGAAGGATGGCTCTTTTGGGTAGAGAAACGGGCACAAAGCTAGAGTAAGGGCTCACATGATGGAGATTTACAGTACAGAATCAGAAAATGTCTGGTATGTAAAACAATTTATGGTCAACAATTTTGAGATCAGAATAGCCTGGTTTAAAGTTGATCAGCTTTTGATCCATTCAGAATAGTTATTTTGAAGCCAAAAATTTCAATTAAAAAAAATATATATCACAAATATTACTATTTCTCAGTATTTTTTGCTGTATTTTACTATTTCTCAGTATTTACACATTTTGGTGATAGATATGTCTTTTTAGTATAATTCAGTTATTTTATTTGGTAAATTTTTAAAACCTGTCACTATAAAATATTATAGAGTAATGCCATGCACTTTGGTTAGAAGAATGAAGCTATACAGTATTGAATTCAGTGGGGCTTCTAACCAAGTCACTTTTAAGCAATTGTGATACGTTCTTATTTATTGCATTGTTGAATTGGGATATATAAGTGAATGAGGCTGATAATGTAGTTTGTATTCAGTACAGCCCTATAAAATTTATTTCCTTGTTTCTTACAGGTCTTTTTGCTGATGAGAAGAACCACATGAAATACACAGTAATGTACATTTGATTTAGGACATGAAAAAAGGGACATTGGTGATACTTCTATGGAAAATGCGCTGCACTAGGCTGAGATGGCAATTCTAGGCTTAAGTTCTATGAACCATTATTCTTTGAGAAAAAGAGGCATTTTTATGCTGAAACTTATTTGTTTTACTCTGACAGTATTCATTTTCTGTGAATTTTTAATTTATTATGTAGTTATAATTCAATGTCATTGGCCCAAATTGAAAAACCAGACTCTGGGGACTAACAAACAGAATTCACATTCTGTTTTGAAAACCATCTTTTTATCAGATCCTCATTTGCTTGGTAGAATCAATGGACATTGGTTGGACAAGCTAAGGAGGTAGGAGCCAAAATATCAATAACTTGTTGCTCTTAGTTTGTGGAAGCATTTGCTGCATGCTGAATAATTAAAGTTACAAATCTAAACATTTATAAGCTGATCATCTACCTTCTAATTTATTGAATGTTGATTCAGTGTAATATTGCTAAAATCTCGGTGTAGTTGCTCTCATAAGAATGGAAGAGTGAATCTTATAATTCATTGAGCAAAATTTCCCACTCATTATTTGAAGGAACAATCATTTTAAATATCTTCTTATTTATTTCATGTTGCTTTAAAACCAAAACAGTGTTCAAGAATACAGGTGTTCTGCAATGTTTGAAACAGCTTAATACTGTGATTTTAAAATTATTTATTTAATTGATTTATATAGTCACCCATCTCAGTACATGGCTCTGAGCAGCTCACATGAAAACAAATAAAGATTTATAGACATATAAAACACATAGCAGCCTCATAAAATAGCCCTCAGCACAGCCAAGAAAATATTTAATATACATGTGTTGCATAATAAAATATTGTTATTTCTCATAATTTTACAATAGTTTATATATGCTGATTTTTTCTTGTTTTATAAAAGTTGAAAGGAGATGAGAGGGAGTTATGCAGGAGGCAGAGGGCAGCTGCTCTTGGGGAAAGCAGCCCTGAGGTTTAGTATCAAAGTTGCCTTCCAATTCCTTGTGCTCTGCCTCATAATTTATTTTATTTTATTTTATTTATTGGAATTTGTCAAACAAAAATGAGAACAAGAATAAGAGAATAAAAATACAATTAACAAGGACGATAGGCACGTTAGTGCACTTATGACCCCCCCTACTTATTCACACCCCCTCTACTAATCAGAGCCCAGAAACACTAGTTTCAAATTGTGGTTGTTGAGTGAAGCAATCACATGGGCTTAACAAGCAAAGCAATCACATCTTAACGACTGCTTCACTTAATGACCACATTTCCAGTCCCAGTTGTAGTATATCAAGGACTATATTTACTAGCATGTTGTCATCATTCATGTTGTTGTATATTTTCCTGAAAAATAAATCATGTTACAGTAGCCTGTCACCAAGTTACATAATTTTGTCTAACTGTCCTTCCCAATCTCTTTATTACACTGTTAATTTCTCCGGTGTCTTCAAGGTCCAAAAAGTTTCCATTTTATATGGTGAGGTTTTTCCCCTAATAAACTTTTCGTCAGTCTTCCCATTCTTGCTGTAAGTCACAGAGTCTAGGTAGGTGGTCTGCTGTTTTGGGATGTCAGGAATTCACAAGTAATTTGAGAATGTTTGCTCCCTTTTGAATTTGTGTTGTAATAATGGAAGTCACTATTTTTTTTCCTGCTAACTTTGGAATTATAATAATTTAAGGTGTGATTATTTCCTTTCTCTAAAATGTATATGTTCCACCCTTATATTAGTATATTAGTAGTTTAACTGGTCTTTGGGCGTACCAGGCCATTTTCAAAGTACCTTCTTCTATTTCTTATTTGACAAATGCAATTTTCCCAACCTTCTCTTAGATTCAAAATAGCACTTTTTGAGTGAGTCTTTGTTGTTCTCCAAAGTAAGCAAAACCCTAAAACGTAGATGTTTGTTCATCTAGGTTATTAAAAATGATATCCCATACAATGTTAAAAGAGAAGGCAACTCTGTATCCAGCTACTTTTAATCCAGATTTTATACTTGCTTCATAATATTTGTAATGTTAATTAAAATATGGTGGTTTTATATTTTTTTCTCCTGCTAGGGAATGGCAAATGGAGAGGGCCTTCCAAACTGCCCTCTGGCTTCTGCAGCCAGAAATAGTCTTTATCCTGGGCGATATCTTTGATGAAGGAAAATGGAGCTCTTCCCAGGTTTGTGTTCCTGAATTGGTCTCCTAGCAAAATAGATGCTTTTAATAAGTGAATAAAAGCCCAGGGCCAGGAGTAGTTATAGTTCTTTATTAGAATCTTAATTACTAAATGAAAGCTGTTTATAATTATGGAAGCATTGTCAGTATTTAAATTTATATTTATAGATGGTACTTTGCACAATAGATATGTTAACTGAGAGAATACTGGCAATGTTGATATCAGTTCTTTTAGCACAGATAACTTTTGTGTATTATTGCAAGTTTCTATAAATTGCATTTTAAAATGAACCTTAACAATTCCCATTTTCTGGTCCTACACATCAACTCAAACGCACCTGAAATATTTTCTTAATTAACCATTTTACTAAAGTATTCAGATAATTCATGTACAAATACACACACACACAGTGTGTGTGTGTGTGTGTGTATGTTTGTGTGTGTGTATTAGGAAAATGTGGACAAAGAAAAATGCAAATGAAGTTTGTAGGTTTGTGAGAAGGAAAAAACCAAATTAATGAAGAAATAGAATAGAATGAAAAGTAAGAAAAAAGAGCAACTGTATAAAATTGAATTTGACAGATTTGCGATTCCTACCAGTAGTAGTGATTAAATTCATCAGCAAGAGGATACCTGTACGTTATTGACCAAGTGTTTCTTTTAAAGTGAAACACTCTTTAGTTTTTCCCTAATGATCAGTGTAAAATTCAGTAGATGTCTTGGGTAGATTATTTTTATGGCATTGAAGCCAAATTTATATTCAGAACACTGTTCAGAAAATGAATTGTGGTTTGGGATAAATTGGACACATTATGGACAAATAGGGCTAATAAATAAAAATAAAATATGTAGAAATCTATGTTGAGTTGAAAAGGTTTTTTATGGTTCTAAAAATTACTCTAATATATTAGTATCTAAACACTCAACAGCCCTACATGGAAAAAAATAACTTAATGCAAGCTGCTGTATTTAAAAAAATTAACTGGTGTCCTTTATCTTCTTTTGAGATTTATTTTTTCTGAATACAATGTAGGAAATAGTTTGTTTTCATTTTTAAAATATAAAAATGAATTTCAATATAAATATTATGGAATTGCTTGCTTTATCTCAAGGCATTGTCTACTGGCCCTTTATTCTTAGCAAATTCAGGAATAATAAAAACAAAAACTTAAAAATAATAACCAGTATGTATTTTTATTTAAATAAGATTCTAGCATTTAAATTTTTAAGCATGTTTTTTTGCAGGCCTGGTCAGATGATGTGAGGCGGTATCAAAAAATATTTTGGCATCCAGACCACACAGAAGTATTTGGTATTGTTGGCAATCATGACATTGGCTTTCATTATGAGTGAGCATTGTGTTAAAATTGTGGGATATAGATTAAAATATTGGTTTGTAGTGAAGATGGTCCACTTTTTACAAACCAAATTGAAGATGGAGAAATTTTGCTCTAATTCAATCATAATATGTTTTCTACCTGCTAGGAGTTATGGTGTTTATTACGGTATAATGAAATGCTGTGTCTTTTATTATACGCTCCTAGGATGACATCATTCAAGTTGGAACGTTTCTCTAAAGTTTTCAACTTCTCTTCAGAAAAAATAATAACTCGGAAAGGGATAAAGTGAGTGTAACTTTTTTTTTATTTACTGGGATTTTTATTATTGTGCCTGGTCTTTGTACCTGGGCATTTACAGCAAAACATTAGTTTCATGATGGCATCACATTACATTTTATTTAAAACATAAACATATTTTTAAGGTTAATTTTTGGCTATCCAGAAAATATTTTTAATGTATTTCTGCTGAAAGGGTAAGAACTATTGCTTGTGATCTGTTTTTTTCCCTATCTGGTATTAATTTCTTAGCCATATAAAATAATTAATTAATAAAATTTGTTGTAATTCTGCTCTTAATGTTTGGGTTTTAATTGAACTGCAGCCCTTTATATAGATACATGTATTCATTTCCTATTATTATAAACAGTATTTTAAAATTCTGCATTGTTTAAACTCCATTTTTATATCACTGTTAATGCCTAGTAACCAATGATACATTGATTGGGTTTTGCCCATCAATGACAGAGAATCATATGAAGCTTCAGTGTTAAGATCAATATTTATGATTATATGTATCCACTGTGAGGATTATTTTTCTTCCTTGATCATTCACTACTTTGGGCAGGTTCTGAGCAAACCCATGGAGAATTCTCCTCTTATTTGTAACATGGCCCTACTTGTCTATTGTAACCCAAAGGTATTATGTATAGTACAAAGAAGTATCTGATGGAAGGAATTTTCTTCTGCATCTTCCCAGGCCTCTTTGGAGGATAGGAATCCACTTGAGCGCATTATCTTTCCAAGATAAGGTTATGGGATCTTCTAATTTATTGGCAGTAACTTGCATATTTCCTTCTTATATTTTTAGCTTTCTTATAGTGAACAGTGTTGCTCTTGAAGGTGACGGGTGTATAATTTGCAGAACAGCAGAAGCCAAACTCATTGAACTTTCCCACCAACTGAATTGCTCATTGAAGGTAGGCATATATCGATTTTTGGGAAAGCTTATCAAGGTAAAGAACAACTCCTCCAGAATTATTTTAAACTAAGCCCTTCCCAAATTATTATTCACAAGCTTTCAGCAAATCTCAGACTTTTCCTCTAAAAATGATGCGTTCTCTTCATTGAAATGAATGAGAAAGTTCTTATGGGTGAAGGTTTCTGTCCTTGGGCATTGGGAAAATCAAGATGAAATTGTGGATATCAATAGAACAGCAGCGCTATCAAACCTGCTGTTCTTTTAGTATTGTAATCATCTTCAGAAATTTAGTAGATGGAGAGAGAGAGTCCTTTCTAAATTATACTAATTTTATTTATGGATTTCTCAACCTACAGCACTTCCAAAAGTAAACCCTTGATATAGCACGGCTTACCTACTATTTAATTAAATCAGATAGTTTGGTATTTGTTAAATTTATAAAGAACTGAAGATGGCATACTTAGTGCTCTTTCCTCTGTAACGGGTTGAGAGGGTAACTTTGAGCAGAAGGAAAAGCAGTAACTGAGTCTACTGTCAGACAAAAGAAATTTGAGTTAGACAGAATTGTAATTTAAGAAAGCATCTCAGGCCTGATCTCCCCCCTTCCCCAGTTCCCTTGAAGATAAAGGGAGGGTGGGGAGAAGCATATTCACATTTGCAGATTTTATTACCTTAACCTCATAAATAAAAGTATTAGAACTCAAAAATTTGGTTTCCTTGTCTGATCTATCTTGAAGGGCTGACACTCTCAAGTGCTTATGACTGCTTTCTTGTTTTGTGTATTGTATGCATAGACATTGCTCTAAAACCTCCTGGGAGATTTCTGCTAAAATATACTTATACATCTTGTAGACATTTTCTGCCAGTCTCTGTATGTAACTCAAGTGGTACCTAAAACTGACTCACCCATTCTTTGAACATGAAAGAAGTATCTTCTTTTAGAACATCCAATTTTATATAGCTGCATCATCTCCTCAATTCTAATGAAATACTAAAAGTTTTCCTTAAAAACCATGACAACATTTTTATTGGTTGCTCTGTGTAAGGTACATATTAAATAATTTCTGATTTTTGTTGGCAGGAACAAAATCAATATAAAAAAAGCTGTAGTAATGTGGATAAGGTCCCAATCTCGGCTCCAATTCTATTGCAGGTAAGTTGATAGAATGAGATCTCTGTACTTTATTTGCCATGGATATATTGAGAAACTTTATTTGGAACTATATTGTACTTTTCCTTCTTCTCAGCATTATCCTCTTTACAGAAGAAGTGACTCAGAATGTACAGGAGAAGATTCTGTTTCCCTGGAGAAAAAGAATGACCCCTTTAGAGAGAAATATGATGTGCTTTCTCAGGAAGCTTCCCATAAGGTATTTTTGTTTTCACCACAGGCTTTGCATTACTTAAGAGTTAACTGTTGAGTTGTGTTAACAAATTTTTTTCCCCTCTTTTTAGAAGGTACACAGTGGAATTTCTTTTTTTAAGGAAATATTTACACACAAGTACAATCACAAAGTAATCTATGCAAGAGGGGCTTTCCTTTGTCTTCAAGACATCTTGAGTTTGGGAGACATTCTTCCTCTTTTATGAAAAATGACGGCATATTGTTGCATTGTTAAAGAAAGATGCTGAACCATATGTGGGAAGTTTTGTCTTTTACTGTATTTGCTTACAAAACATTTGCCAGTTTTCAATGATACAAATCTATTTAAGGAAGACCTAATTTGTGCAAAGCGTAGAGTCTACTTTGCAACCAAAGAGCCTACTTTGTAACTTTGTACTAGGAGTCAAAATTGTACACCTCCGTTCTGTTGGATTGCAGGTGATGGACGTTAGGGATTCTACTTCAGCTTCCTGAAAAACTCCCTGTAACTCCATCTGTCTAGGCCAGTGATGGCTAACCTTTTTGCCAAAGCGTGCCAGGAGAGGGGGGGTGGGGGAGGGTTGCACGCGCACGTGCCCACGCGCTTGCGCACGCAACCCCACCCACCCCCGTTCCTGGCACATGATGGCCTGGTAGGCCCGTTTTTCTTTCTTACCTGGCTCCAGATCCTCTCTATGCAACTGGGAAGGGCGAAAACAGCCTTTCCCACTCCCTTGGAGGCCCTACGGAGGCTGAAAGGTCCCATTTCCCAACTCTCGGTGGGACAGGAAGTGACATTTTTTGCTGTCCCCAGCCTCCAGAACTGCTCTAGGAGTCTCTAGGAGCCTCTCTAGGAGTCTCTGGAGGCTGGGAACAGCAAAAAAGTCACTTCCGGTCCCACTGGGAGTTGGGAAATGGGCCCTTTCAGCCTCCGTAGGGCCTCCAAGGGAGTGGGAAAGGCTGTTTTCGCCCTTCCCAGATGCATAGAAAGGATCTGGAGCCAGGTAAGAAAGAAAAACGGGCCTTCCCCACCCACCTCCAGGCCCTCCAGAGGCAGGAAACAGCCTGTTTCCCTACTTCTGGTGGGCCCAGAAGGCCCGAAAATCAGCTGGCCAGCGCGCGCATATGCCCCAGAGCTGAGCTGGCGTGGCCACTAATATGGCTCTGCGTGCCACCTGTGGCACACGTGCCATAGGTTTGCCATCATGGGTCTAGGCCATCACATTACTAATGAGTTCTAATGAAGAATCTTGATAATGAAGAATCTATTGAGGGATATCCTAAGGAAAATATATATTGTATCTTTAAATATAGGTCTTGTATGTTTCACTGCCTACAAATAGACAAAAGGGTAGGGAACAGGCTAAGTAGAGTCATTCATGGTGATTGAGTGTAAATGAAGCTTGGGTATACTGTTCAACTGCTTCTTGATGTGTCATGAAAGCAGTGACTAAATAAACCATTTATGATGTGGAAACTATTGTCCCTGACTTCATTCTCCCAAACAACCTAAATAGCTAAGATTAAACTATGCTTGTTAGGCATTTGCCAGAGCCTCCAATTTTGAACCAAAAAATCATGCAAGACATTTCTGCAATTTTGTCTCAGTCTTTGTGGCTCGAAGCTCTGCTGGGTGGGAAAGTTTGAAATCTGAGATCTAACATATCTGATGAGTACCATGAAGCCAAAAGTATTTTAGCTTCAAGCATATCACCCCTAGCATGCTTATTTGTTCATGATATGCCAGAGTGAAATCAACCATTATGTAATGGTTCCCCGAGCCCTACTAAGTCAAAGATTCCTGTGTAATGCTGAACCATTCTTCTTTCAAAGACATGTTGGACAAGTGTTTTGGAATCAGCTATGTGTCAAAACTGAGTTACTTCTGGTATTACTGAGGCGATCTGATAGTACTTTATGGATGGATTGATAACAACTCTAATAAATTAGTACTGATTAAAATGACTGAGGGGAAACTGAAAGCAAGATGTGCTGTGTGGCGAAGTTATTTCTTAAAGTAGAAATGGTAACAGTGCTGTTTTATTCCACTTTATAGCTATTGTGGTGGTTTCATCCTCGATTGATTCTGAGTGGCCATACCCATAGTGCCTGTGAAGTGCTTCATAATGATAACATTCATGAAATCAGTGTTCCATCATTCAGTTGGAGGAACAGAAACAATCCTAGTTTCATAATGGTAAATTTAAATAATGTTTATTTTATCAGATATTTTTTCATAATATAAATCAACATAGCAATCAGCTATTTTCTCAGACTGATGCTACCTGTAAAAAAAAAAAAAGCAAAATAGAACAGCTCCTTCCATCCTCTCCAAAAGTACACTTAAGTTGAATACAAAGCACCCGCTTTATAAAGCACATACACATGGAGAGCCGTCTAGCTTGTAGAGTGCAAAGTAAGGTTTATGGTCTACAATTCTAAATGCAAGCATATTTAGTACGTTTCTATAAAGAGGATGCAGTGTAAACAATCTGACTACAACAATCATCAGTAGTCTGCAACAAACAGTATCGAGACTTGTTTTTGCTTGACTGATTTATTCACAAGACCACCTTTTCCCTCTGGGATTCTTTGTTTTTCAAAAGTGCAAATTATATTATAGGGCAGCAAAATTCTATTCAGAGGAACTTAATTCACAGTTTGCTTTGGGTATACTAGATTACAATTCTTAATAAACCCGGAGCACAAAAAAAATTCTTGCTTCTAAGCCTTGTTTTAAATGATGCTATTTTCAAAACTGATTCTACGCTAACTTTACTTTTTCGGCTCCTTGAGCTTCAGGAAAGGCAAAACAATTATAGCTCTATTGTAATTTTTAATTCATAGATGAAAATCTGTCTCATTTTAGGTAACATGACTTTAAACTGTTCTCCTTGAGCAGCATACTTTCACCTATATTTTACTTAAAGTTCTTAATTAACAAATAATCTAGCAGGTCATGTTTGTAGCACTCTTGACATGTGGATGCTTACCTATGGGGCTAGATTATCCATAATCCCACTCCCTTCCCAATTCTATAAGAATAGAGCTACGTTGTATTTTATTTCATGCAATTTCAAATGCTTGGTTCCCCCAATTATATAGCAACCATTAGTATAATTAAGGGTTTTAAGCTGTTAACTATATAAGTCTTCCCTTGTCTGGTCAAACAACAGCTGTTGTGTTCTGGAAGGTCCTTTTTCACATGGCACAAAATGTTCCCACAGGGCAGTTCAGTGCTTAATTGCAAAACAACTATCTTTAGAAGTTTCAGAGTTGTCTGCATCTCTTGAACCATGAACAGTTGAAAGTACTGCTACTTTAAGAAGAACTCAGCTTCCCTCTCCCTTAATAGAATCTTCAGTATCTACAGCCATTTGCCTCAGACCTTCTAAACTCTTGCTTCCATTTTCCAGGGCAGCATAACATCAACAGAGGTCTCGCTCTACAAGTGCTTTCTTCCATATGAGAACACAGTAATAACCATTTACTGTACAGCAGGATCTGTGCTGGTGGTCCTCATTCTGGCTCACTTTCAGCCCCATCTTTCCCCTTACCATTTTGTTCAGCGTTTAATCACTAAGTATAAAGCACTATGAAAAGTCAGACACTTGGAATCAGTCACTGACACACCAAAGCTAAAGAACAATCCATCAGACTACATTCATGCCAGCAAATGCGTACTTGAATTGCTAGCCCAAAGGCAAACTGCTCTTACAGACAGAAAGCTCTAGACAGTTGATAGGACTTTTTTTTTAACTACAGGATAAAGTAACTGCTTCATGCTGTACAAAAATATTGTAATCTACAATCAAACGAATGGTTTTCTTGCTAAATTTTTTTTTGTATCAAATATGTATATTAAAAGTTTGTAACTGTACACTAAGCTCTACAAGCCTCCTTTTGTGTCTGCACTAGTGCCCTATGCTGTTAGAGGCTCAGTCTTTGTAATAGAAAAAGAATTTTAAAGTGTTATTGCTGCATGACCATCTGAAGTGGTACTTCATTTCCTTGATATCAGCAATACAAGATGCAGTTATTTTACAGCAAGGTATTACCAAAACAGAAGCAAAACATAATTATAATAGCTGACATAATTTTCTACCCTCACAAGTCACTTTTAAATTAGATGTAAATAGTTTTAGATGGTAGTCATGTGACAGCATCAACAACAACAAAAAAAACCTTTGCTAATAAGTTTGCAGAGTATTGGCAAACCAGGTAGAAAACTGAAAAGAAGCCTCTTGCACATTCAGAATAAGGGTGTGCACTCTGTATCCATGAACACATGGACTGAAGCTTGGTTGAACATTTCCCCTGGAATAAGATGTAAACAACTACTGTTAGATTCACACAGAGTTTTTATGGTATGACTCAGTTTGCGTGACTGACTATTTCCCCCAAGAGAAATAAACTTTATCAGAAAACTTTGCATTCCATTCCTAAATGTTTAAGTCCTATCTGATTAATAGCATTAAAAAAGTGCTTAAGTATGCAACTTAAAAAGGCATTATAAATTAAGCTGTAGAAATTTATAGACTTGGTTTTCTTTATCTACTTATATAAACTTTAAAGAGAATTTTATTCAGTAAAGAAGAGTTTAGGTTAGCCTTCCTCAGCATGTTGCCCACCTAAGAATTGAGACAACAGATCCCAAAATTCCCAGGCATGTTGGAAAGAGTTCTGGAAGTTGTAAACAAAATCTATCTAGAGGGCATTAGATTAAAATTGTCTGAACGATAGAATATAATCTGTGACATTTGCAGCAAACAAAGAAGGGATACAATTATAATAACTCTACCCTATTCCTTTCAATAACAGAACCATTCTTTTTTTTTAAAAAAAAATCAGGCAGTAGTTTACATTTTCACTGCTTTGTTTTTAGAGGAAATATGAATCTTTAGACTGGTATGTCTTCATCATATCAAAATAAGTGTCTTTCAATCATCTTGGAAACAACAAGGTTATGACTGAATACAGTATGTCAAAGTACCAGTTTCAGAGTGGATCTAAAATGCTTCAAAATCAGAGTACCTTGACAGATTACTAGCCTGATTCTTTCGCAGAGATACAATTGTTTCTCAGTTTCTAAAAGTGATCTGGGGTTATATATGCAATAAACATGCCTTTCTAATTTAAAAATAGTTTCACATTATGCCATCAAAATATTTTAAGAGTAATTTATCTCCATAGCAAAAGGCAAAGAGAATCCAAGTGTTATAATCTATGAAGTTCTGAATTTGTTATTGCATCTACAAATTTTAAATATTGGTTCAGATTTTCTCAGGCACTGGAAACTGTACTCTGACATAATGCCTATGTATAAAATATAAAACAATCTCATAGTTACTGAGAAAGGCATGCCTTATTGCTACACCAATTCTTGCTTTTATGCTGAACTGTACCACAACTTATTTTGTGAATGTCATTTGCATAAATTATTCAAGTTTGAAAAATCATTATGATTCTACAATATTTAAAATTAAACCATTTTCTAAGATCTGTTTATTAAGAGAAATAAATACGTCATTTTGTAATTCTCTTAGGCCAAACACAAGGATTACACCTTTTTTCTTTCTTGCAATTTGCACAATAAAAGCAGCTGTTGCAACAAAGATTGAAAAAAAACCCTTATCTAATGGTGCCTTTACACATTCACAATCTGCAATTGTGAACGGTTTATGAATGACCAAAGAATTACTAAACATAATTTTAAAGGTAAAACAAGATATTCCCATGAAACTAACACCAGGTTGCAATTTGGACACTTAAATCAATTTTTAAAGCTGAGTATGAAAGGCTATTGCTGCCACAGTAGCAGCAATTACTTACTTGGAAAGTTAATATGACTAAAATTTGCATAATTTATAATTTTTATACTAAAGAACATTTTATATAAATCAGAAAAAAAACCCTAAACTCTACAGAGTTTTTTTCAAACCTCCAGTCACTGCTGTAGGTAGAGTTGACATCAAGCTGTACAGCGCAATCAAAAACATACTTACATCTTAGCTCATTTTACAGGTACAGCCATAATCAAGGCACAAAGATCTTCTACAAGTATTTTCTTCAATAAAATTGTACAAAATAATATTACACTTTACAGTCTGTACAATATAATAAACCAGCAGTAAAACAAAAAAAATATATATTATATATTATATATATATTATATATATATTTATATTTTTTATAGAAGACTGATGTCCAAAAATGATCTAAATTAATTGAATCATTTGTGGACAGAAGAAATATGGTATGTGAAGGTGAATTTTCTGCCTAAATGCAATAGGCTGAAAAAGTAGCTCTAAATTCAAAAGCCTGAGGTGTAAAGAGACTCTTAGCTCCAAACCTCCCAAAATTGCTTACCTACTCTATTCCTGGGCCAGCAATGGCTTAGAAGAGGAGGTCACTTCATCAGTTGACCTGCAACTCAGTTCGTTAAAAACTCAATGTAATAAATATCATAGTGCTGCTACATCATGCATGTATACATCCCCAACAGTATTTTCTAATTCTGAAGCAAAGTGCATTATTCCCTTTCTTTCTGTCCATCAAGTACTCTTCAGTGTCATGACACAAAAGGAACCCTCCAAAAACATTCTAGGTATGACAGTGTCATCTAACTAGCAGATACCAGCTTGAACTAACAAGTCTGCTGAAAAAAAATTAGCAGACTATGTCCAATTAATTAAACATAAACAAAAATTTACAACCAAACCAAAGGAAACAGAGGTAGCCAAAGACTTCAGTGGAATGACAAAGAAGTGGCATATAAAAATAAAACACACATATTGTCCCTAAAGCATGGGCTGGCTAGAAAGTCTAATAAACGTAAACGAACTGAGGAGGCAGATGGATCTAGTATCTCTTCCTCAACTTCATCTGAGGAAGCCAAGAAAGAAAGATGCTTAAAACCACGGACTCCATGGTGTCCTTAATTACAATAGTTCATACTGGCGAAGATGCATTCTCTGAATGATGTCTCTACAATCATTGAATACTCTCCGAATATTTTCTGTGTCAATTGCACATGTGAAATGTGGATAGCAATAATGCTTTCCATCTCCGGTTGCCGTACTTATTCGCTGTAAGAGATAATGAAAAAGTTGCTGAAAACAAAGTTGGATAAAAGCATTTCTGGGAAATGACAACAAGATGCGGGAAGACTTGATCAGTGTAGCACCACCTCAAGCTAACATGTCAAAAAATTATGCATTAAACACATTTATTCAAGGAATGCCTGGATGTTCCAAAGATAAAACCCCCAACTTGTCTAAAACTGAATAAGTAACCAGACAGTAAACTGAATATATTAACTTTGCAACCTACTCACCAGGTAAGCTTAGCCTGATTTTCCACTAAAAAGTCATACAGTACTATAGGTTTATTTCACTGCAGCTTATTACAACTCACAGCTAAAAAACACACATAAAAACATATGAGCAGTTAATGTTTCATGTATGGCCACAATCAAGACGTTGAGGGTAAGAAAAGTAGGGTTTTATGGTAGCATGCTGCTTTTGTGTGTGTGCATACTTTGCATAGCTTATAAAGAGAGGTGATGATTTTAAAAATGAACTATAATGGTTTGTAATTCAATGATGACTGGTTTCAAGATAGAGTTGTTTTTATAACGATTAAAGCTTATAGAAAAATAAAACATATCGGTATTCAAACAAATTTATAAGTTAATACAATGCTAAAAAAATCACCAATACTTACTAAAAATTCATCCCGAATAAAAAACTTTGCTCTTGTAACTTTGGGATCTTCTCCTGCATCTGGTGTTGCTGTAATAAACATAGATCTATTCAAATATATGCAATATAAATTTTAAAAATGTTTGCATGGTGCCTTTATTTTCATGCAAAACTGATACATATATCGGGAAGTCACAATATGGTCAGAATATAATGAAGCATACTGGGTTCAAGTTGGCAAAGAAGTGGGACAATACTTTCCCCTTCTTTATTCAACCTATTTGCTACCATCTATATTAAGGAAAGCTGGATTCAAAGTAGATGAGTGTGATTGTAATATTAGAGAAAGAAAGTTCAATAATCCATGCTAGGGTGATGATACGACTCTGATATGCAAAACTGCAAAGGAGCAATTGGTATGTGAATGGAAATAAAAGTTGGGCTTTGACGAAGCAAGTCAGAGTCTTGATACTTTTGAACTGTGATGTTGGATTACGCTCCTGAGAATACTATGAACAAACAAAGCATTGATCATTGAACAAATAAGGCATAAATTATGGGGAGATGTAGTTCTCTGGAGAGGATTCTAATGCTAAGAAAATGGAAGGAAAGAGAAGAGAATGACCAGCAGTAAGGTGGGTAGAGTCAATGATTGTACCACTGGAAGACCAGTTTAGGGACGGAATATCATGCAGAAAAAAAATATCTATCTAAGAGCTCATACTGACTTGATGGCACAAAAGTAATCAAGCTCATAAATATTCAAATTATTTAAGCATAAGAGACTTTAGTTAAGAAACTTACCATCTTCAGGTACAGTGTAACGTGTAAATTCGGGAAAATAATCTTCAATTTTAGACTTCCCTGCCAAGACTTTTTCAGCAAGCATGTCTTGTTTGTTCAAGAACAAAATGATAGAAATTGTCCGTAACCACCTGTGAAGACCCAAAAATTAATTCAGAGTCCAACACAGTTAAACAGATGTATAACATCTGCTGACTTTTATATTTTCTAAGAGAAAACAGCCATCTAAGGAGGAAAATCTTTTTTTGGACCAACTGGAAGTTAAGGGATATACATTGAAACCAAATATTTATTAAATCTGATTGATGTAACTGATGTTCTTTGAGATAACATCATTGGCATAAAAACAATATAAACTGATGCAATTGCTGTACATTGAGTCAATTGTCCAAACAGCTTTTGAATGGGAAGTCCATTAAGTCAAGATTTTACTACATCCCATCAATCTCTGTTTATAATGAACCAGGTACTAATCTGAAGGTTGCAACAATTATTGAAATCAGAATAGAAATCTTGATTTGTTCTAACAGATTTTTCACAAAAATCCTCCACCCATCCTAGATACATTTTTACCAAACCAATGCAGCTGATTTATGCATGTATCTTGCCTATTGTTCCAGATGCTTTTGAAGAGGTCTAAGGACTCGCGCAATCTGTTTGTGTTGTTGTCTTCTCTTATGACCATATTGTAGCTGCTACAGGCCACAACGAAGATAATAGCTGTGACATCTAAGGAAGAACATACCGTAGATCAGTGATGGCTAACCTTTTTTCCTTCGGGTGCCAAAAGCGTGCACGTGCACGCTATCGTGCGCACGCACGTGCCCACACTCATAATGCAATGCCCCTCCCGCATGCCCCTCCCCTCTGCAAATGTGCGTGACACCCTCCCCACATGCGCAAGCGACCCCTGCATGTGCGCACAACCCCCCCTTTTGGCCTCACATCCCAAAACAGCACTGGGGGCAAAGCCTTTACCTCCCAAAACGGCTGGGGTGGGGAGGAAAGCTTCCAAAAGGGCTGGGAGGGGGGAAAAAAGCCTTTGCCTCCCAAAACAGCAGAGGGGGGGAAAGCTTCCAAAACGACTGGGAAGGGGGAAAAAACCTTTGCCTCCAAAAATGGCTGGGGGGGGGGAGGGAAAAAAAGCAGGGGTGAAATGCTCCTGGTTCGGACCGGATTGCCCGATCCGGTAGTGATGGAGGCGGGTGGTTCGGAGAACCAGTAGCAAAAATCCCTGCCCCACCCCCATGCCCAGCTGAGCCGCGTAATCATCAGGCTTTTTTAAAAAAATCCTCTGCCAATCAGGCAACTCAGCTTGGATATTCAGA